AAAAGACACAAATAGTGGGCACTTTAATGCTAAAATGGCCCCACCCAGGTACTGGAGACCCTGGGTTGGGAAGACTCTGGCCATAATTAATTGGGTAACATTGTTATTCTCTGTATTGGTATTTCCAAACTGTGCATATCGGGAGCATAACTCCTTTGTTTTGCTTGTGTACCATGTTGCTACTTTAACAAACCAGACTGATTGCTGGGTATGTGCTCCAACTCCACTATCCCCCAAAACGAGAATGCCCCTTGACATGCTGCCCTTGACCCTAGCAAAATTAGCCACCACCAAAGAGCAGGAAAGAACGGACTCGCCGTTCTGGAATAAGACCTCTTTACAGCAGGCCACCTATCAGGACCAGGAGTATTCAGTTGCCGTACGCACTGAGGAAGTATTATGTTTTACCCGAAACCAATCTGATCACTATGGGCATCCTGTGGGAAAGAGCTCCTGTGTTATTACACAGTGGGCTGATGGGTATTGGATAAAGACCAACAGGGGAGGCCAACAGTGTGGGTGTAATGGTTCCTCCCCTTTTAGGGAAACACTTACAAATAATCTTACCACAAAAAAAGGGGTTTGGAAATGTAACTTGCTGTCCAGTTAATATCTCCAATGTAGCAAGCCAATGGTGGGTTTGTAGTGGTCCCTATGGCGAGTGTAATTTGAACGCCACAATTAGAAATGCCCCCACTTGTACCCAATCAGGAGGATGGGATGCCCCCTTAGGGGCATATAAATTGTTTAAAAAAGCAGCCTTAAATATCCCAGGAATCCCCTTAAACAGTCCTTACTGGGCCCTACAGGGTCACTATTTTGTATGTGGCCGAAAGGCTTACAGGGTGCTGCCAGCCAACTGGACAGGTAGCTGTTATATAGCTCATGGAGTTCCTCATCTTTCCATAACTGCCACACTGCCCAAAGGAAAGATTAGAAATGCCCGAGACACCTCTGTTGAGTCATGAGAAAAGACCCTGCGGCGACTGACTAAGGCATTGGAGGGCAATATGAAGAATCCCCTCACAACCGAGAAGCTTGTAGGGTGCTCTGTACTGGGAATAGCGCCACTGTTTACTGGGCCAGCCATGGCATGCATAGGCTGCTAGACTGTAAGGCTGCAGATGGTACTTAAGAAGGTGGCCTTAGAGTTAAAAATCTCGGTTAGTAATTTAGGGTCAGCAGTAAAAACTTTAAATAAAAAGGTACAGCAGCTCAGGACGTTTTCCATCCAAAACAGGCTGGCTTTGGACTATCTCTTGGCATCCCAAGGAGGGGTTTGTGCCCTCGTCGGGCCCTGATGTTGTGTATATGTAAATAATAGCAGTTATGAAATCTATGAAAAGGTGGTACGGGCTGAGGCCCATGCCCGAGCCGGAGCACAGGTTGCCTATACTGCTCCAGAGAACGATTGGTTGCAAACCTTGTTTTCAGGCTGGGGTTTGTCGTCTTGGCTTGGTGGTTTATTTAGCCTGCTATTGAAAATTCTCTTTCCTGTATTGCTTATATTACTGGTATTGTGCTGTGCAGTATCATGTGTTAGGGCCCTTTTGCAAAAGTTAATAAGTCACTCTCTTCAGACTATCACAAAGTGCTTATGCAAAGTCATATTGTAAAAAATAAGTAGCCCAAGTGAGAAAACTCAGAGCCAAGGCTGTTGAGTGTTCTCAAAGGGGAGAGTTGTTGGGGACACTGGGGCATGGCCACTAGGTAACTCGAGGGGATGGAAGACCACGAGTGTCGATAAAGCCCCCTCGCACTAGGCCCAGGTGTCCTTGGCCCCCCCTCCTGCCTGGAGGCACTCGCAGCAGCTCTGCTTACTAGGCCCAAGTGTTCTTGGCCCCCCCGCCTGGAGGCACACACAGCAGTTATGCTGAGAATCTGCAACAGTATGTTGCAGAGTCAGACTGCCTGAAACTAAGCAAGGCCAAACAGGGGAGATATGGAAGAACAATGCTGAATAAAGCAGCTTTATGTATAGTTTAACAAATGATACAGAGAATCAGGGAACTAGCTGGGAACTGGATTGGCTGGCTATATGGATACTTGGGGCAGCTTGCTATTGGATAAGTATGCTGGGAAAAAGGATGTATAAAAGCCTGTGTAACTTCCTGCTCGGTGTGCAGGATTTGAGATTTTATTCTCCCTGTACCTTTTTGCAGCTGCAAATAAACTTTTCTGCTTCTCCACCCTGTTGTGATTATTGGGTGTAGCACACCGGGTAACGAACCAACTCAAGCTGTTGTTCAGCCTCTCGGCACTGGGTGCCGGCAACACTCCCTTTGAATTCAAACTCTAAGCCTTTGTACCTAGAGGATTTGCAACCTTTCCCTTTCCTGCGAGCCCTAGTAAAATCCCCTTTCCCTCCGCCATGTGCTAAGGGGTAACTGGGACCCACCAGGGTGAGCACCTACACGGCCAAGCTGCAGAAGCATCTGCAGTGCTTGCTGCTGAATTGTGGTACACCTCTTTAATCTTACACTCCGTCACCTGTGTCTAGGGGGAAAAGCAATTGACATTTGAAGGCATAAGAAGGCTGCAGGGCCGTCATATGCCACCTGCTGATATTGAATTGGGAAACGGCCCTTAAAACATGATAGCTTTGGGAGATCTTGCTGAGTTTTGAGCTAGAACCACAAGACCCAGCAATGGGACTCTCTTCAGACAGTAAATGTGCTGGAGAAAGAACATTGTCAACAATGCTCTGAGTGAAAACAAGGATTTCTTGTTGTAGTGAGGTTGCAACCTTATTTACAGCATTTGGTGCTGCAAACATTACAAGTTATATTAGAATTTATGGACAGATAACACAATAGGCAAGGCTTAAAACACACCTTGCCGGTAAAGTACAGCATGTTCTGTACCTAGATCATTAACCATGTGATCAAGGCAAAAAATAGATCCAGGAATCTGTTTGTAATCACAGAGAAATTACCTTACCTACCTTGTCTCTCTCCAGAGCAGCTCTGTTATTAATTTATTATGGTTAATTTTTATTTCACTAGCACCTACAGTCCCACTCTGAAATCAGGGTCCCACTTGACCCATGGTACTTACATGGCCCTCGGCACCATAGGACCCCACCCCATCCCAGGAGGCAGGGAAGTGCTGTTCTCCTCCTGGTTCAGATGAGGAACTGAGACATGGAGAGGCTGAGCAACAGGCCCAAAGTCCCTGTGGTACAGGAGGGAATCGCCCCTGGGTTTCTCAAGCCCTAAGCTAGTGCCCTGACCACTGGGCCATCATTTTAGGTATTGGACAATCTCACAGTCCCTGCCTAAGAGTTTAAAGCTGGGGGGGGAGATTAATGCTTATATTTCCAAAATGAGCTCAACTCCCATTTAGACACCTGAACAAAGGTTTCTCCCAATTTCCAATTCTGACCTGAAAGGTTTTGATTCATGCATGGTCTGTACCCTGAGAGGCTAACAAGCTAGTCAGACACAGGACACTGAGAGTTAACAAAGAAAAAGAGAGATGTGATGGCAGACAGCTGGTAGCCCAAATCCCTCCTGCACCAAGCCCAAGTAGCTGGGCCTGGTGCAGGGGATTCTATGAGCACTGGGGCTTGGGGTACCCCAGGCTGCAATGCTATTAGTAATTTTCATTGTTATTAAACAGTAATAGGCCACCAATTGCAATCTAAATTAGACAAACATAAACTAGGAATAGAATAAAAACCACTTAACATCTAAATTAGACACTTGTATGAACAGAACAGGAAATAAGCATTCCCCTCTACTCGGCACTGGTGAGGCCACACCTGGAGTACTGCGTCTAGTTGTGGGGGTCCCCCCACTACAGAAGGGCTGTGGACAAATTGGAGAGAGTCCAGCGGAGGGCAACAAAAATGATTCGGGGGCTGGGGCACATGACTTACGAGGAGAGGCTGCGGGAACTGGGCTTATTTAGTCTACAAAGAGACGAGTGAGGGGAGTTTTGATAGCAGCCTTCAACTGCCTGAAGGGGGGTTCCAAAGAGGACGGAGCTCGGCTGTTCTTAGTGGTGGCAGATGACCGAACAAGAAGCGATGGTCTCAAGTTGCAGTGGGGGAGGTCTAGGTTGGATATTAGGAAACACTATTTCACGAGGAGGGTGGTGAAGCACTGAAATGGGTTACCTAGGGAGGTAGTGAAATCTCCATCCTTAGAGGTTTTTAAGGCCCAGCTTGACAAAGCCCTGGCTGGGATGATTTAGTGAGTGTTGGTCCTGCTTTGAGTAAGGGACGGGATTAGATGACCTCCTGACATCTCTTCCAACCCTAATATACTATGATTCTATGTCTCAGAAACCCTTGAAAGAAAACTGTTGGCAAATGTTGCTGCTTTAATTTACACTGCACTTCCTAATTCTGCTAACCGGGACCAACCCAAAACCTACCTGCCACACATCTGTAGACGTCCCCAAACACAACTTCCTAAATTTCCCCAGTGTCACCCTTCTTTACAGAAAGAGTTACAGGAACACATGCAAACTGCAGGCCTCTCATAGCTAGGAAACAGCATCTCAGTACAATGTCATAGCCAGAGCCGTTTAGGAGCTGTGATGTCCTCTCTGTAAAAGCAGAGCCATCCCCAGTGCAGGCTTCTAAAGGGCCGAATGGCACTCGGTGTGACCAGATGCCTGGGATGAACCACTCTGAGAATGCTATAGTCAGGGCGGAGTGCAAGAAATAGGGCAGGCAATCCCCAGAACTGGTGTATTCTAAAATTAGATTCACAGAGCCAGTAGCAAAAGAGCCTCTGCAGTATAACACTGCTTAACCAGAAGCCAAACACAGTCCCCTTTAGGCACTCCAGCCCTTGGCTCCCATCCAGACAAAGAGGTCTAATATAGTGAGGGGTGATTGAAAACCTAATTCACCATATGTGTGGTTCTTATTAATCCTAAAGGATCAGACACTTGCCTTCAGATCAATATGTACCTCAGATCTTACCCAAATATCACACTGTCAGCCAATCTTCAGTAAACTAACTAAAGATTTATTAAGAAAAGAACAGAGTTAAAATGATTAATAGATTTATACATATAAATGATTCCAAGGTCCTTAGATCAGGATTGTAGCAGTGATGTTACAGACAGCTGGCTTGCAAAAGTCTCTCTGGTAACGTCCAAAAGATTGGAAGATTCTCAGTCCATAGTTCAAAATACGTTTTTTTTTTTAATTGTAAATCCACAGTCCAGAGAATTGGAGCAGGAAAGAGACAAAATGAAGATGTCTCAAGTGCCTTTTATATCTTCTGCCATGTGCATGGAAAGTTACTGTCCCAAACAAAGCCCACAGCCCCTGTGCCTAGTCCAAGGTCACATGAGCATATCCCATGCCCCTATATGTTTTGCTGAATCACGGGGGGCGGCCATTGGCTCCTCGCTGTCTGAGGCATCCAGAGGCAAAGCTGTCTGAGTGGGATGAGTTTCTCCAACGGCCTGGCTGGAGATGATGGAAATCTATATCTGGAGGCTGTCACCCAGAAATACAACACATTTAAGATACAAGTGCATAGCCAATATTCATAACTTCAGATACAAATATTATACATGCATATAAACAGGATAATCATACTTAGCAATTCATAACTCTTTTTACTGATCCCTTACATGACATACTTTGTACAAGATTTATGGAAATTGTGTGACACTGGTAACAATGGTGATAGAAATGGCCACCTTTCTTTATACACAGCATCACACTCAGTTTATGGCAATTCTTTTTGCTGTAGTTGCCATGTCACACAACAATACAAATCTGAAGTTTCCATGACAACAATGGGTTTGGAATCAATTCAAAAAGAAATAAACTATGTTGGGAATGACAGCATATTTAGACCTGATTGAAGCCTGCTTTCAATTTTAAGAGTCTTTTCTGATAATATTTCACAATGTATGCATAAGTAAAACTGTACATGTGTAAGAAACTGCAGTGTAATCATGTTTAGTTTGTGTACGTGTAAGAAATTGAAGAGTACTCATATTTGTGAGAAAAAGAAAAGATAAAGTAACTAAAAAGCTAGAAAACCCCATCTTGAACTAATACTAAACCTGTACTGACAGAGGAGGAGAGTTAACATGGAAATGAGACTAATACATAAGCATAAGAAAAGCATACAAAAAGTCATAAATAAGTCTGTAACAAAGGGAGGTTGAAGGTGTTTTGTCCAGCGCTGGAAGTGACTGCGATGGAATCATCCTGATGAGCTTCCCACTTGTAAATGATCACTGCTTACTGAATGTTTTCCCGTGATAAAGATTGGTTAGACCCATCTGCTGAGTAAGTGAATCTCAATCCAACAAACAAGTTGACTAATGGCAGTAAGAAATGAATTAGAAGAGCAGCCCATTGCACCAGTGCTGGGGATGGAAGTTTTGGCAGGGTTTCCAGGAAGTTATTTCCAGGTGTTTTACGTGTAGCACAATGTGCATCAGATTTTCCCCCCGCCACCCCTTCCCCCACTGTCTTACTCCCACAATAAATCATCCCAGTGGTGGTTAAACCAGGCAGTGCATTCAGAGAGGTGCAATTCCCAGAGTCAAGTGCTGTTATCACAGGATGGAAGAGCATAGCAGCACTGTCAGATTAAAAGAAAAGGAGGACTTGTGGCACCTTAGAGACTAACCAATTTATTTGAGCATAAGCTTTCGTGAGCTACAGCTCACTTCATCGGATGCTTCACGAAAGCTTATGCTCAAATAAATTGGTTAGTCTCTAAGGTGCCACAAGTACTCCTTTTCTTTTTGCGAACACAGACTAACACGGCTGTTACTCTGAAACCTGTCAGATTAAAGAGTCCTTTAAATATGAATCTTCAGACCTTCTCTCTGAAGGCTCCTCAGCTGCCTTTCCACCGCTGGAGAGAAGTCGTTCAAACTCAATCTAGGAACAAATTGGGAAAACACGCAGGGTTATTGTCTGGGAACCCACAACCCAAATGGTTATAACTCTAGTACTGTTACAAGGCAAACTTTGGCCAGTAGTCCTGTCCTATTCCTATAGGAATTGGACATGTTACCAGAGACCTGGAATATCTGTCTTCCAGGATCAGTCTGTTTATAGGACTCTATGCTCTCTGTCTTTCTGAGAGGTTGCAGTTAACTTCTCTATCGCACCTTACATTTTTCTGCAAAAACAACTCCATGACAGACGCTAGTGTCTTACTGCAGGACTCATTCAATATTATCTTTATTTGTTAAGCACTAAATCATAGAATATTAGGGTTGGAAGAGACCTCAGGGGGTCATCTAGTCCAACCCTCTGCTCAAAGCAGGACCAACACCAACTAAATCATCCCAGCCAGGGCTTTGTCAAGCCAGGCCTTAAAAACCTCTAAGGATGGAGATTCCACCACCTCCCTAGGTAACCCATTCCAGTGTTTCACCACCCTCCTAGTGAAATAGTGTTTCCTGATATCCAACCTAGACCTCCCCCACTGCAACTTGAAACCACTGCTTCTTGTTCTGCCATTTGCCACCACTGAGAACAGCCGAGCTCCAACCTCTTTGGAACCCCCTTCAGGTAGTTGAAGGCTGCTATCAAATCCCCCCTCACTCTTCTCTTCTGCAGACTAAATAACCCCAGTTCCCTCCGCCTCTCCTCCTAACAGGGTGCTTGGAGCTGTACAAGAGATTAAAGAGACTAAGTCCCTATCCCAATGACTTTTGCATTTTAAAAAAACAGCCAGCAATCGGACATAAAGAACTTTTTAATATTTGTGATAGAAGGAGGCAGTGCTGTCTTGATATTGAGGTGGATTTATATCAGTGGGCTTTGCAGAAGCAGTGGGATTAAAATGAGAAGAAGATGGCACACTGGGAGAGATCATAGCAGATGGCCTGAAAGGAGGCATAAACACAACAGTGGAAGAAAGCACCCAAAGAACAGTGGGGCTGCAACTGCTGGTGAAGTGAAATGGATGAGGTGGGATCTGATAAGCTACAAGATCAGGGATGTTGGCCATAGAGCCTTGAAAGTGAGGATCATAATCTGAAAGTGATTTGATGCTATAGGTCAGAGGAGTCAGTGGAGAGAGCTGAATACAGGAGTGGTAGGGTCCAAAACATAAGCAAGGAAGGTGATTTTGGCTGCTGCGTTGTGAGTGGATTGGAGGGAAGCAAGGTGGGGAAGATGCTAAAAAGAAACCACACCAGTGGGCATGGTATAAAAATCTAGATACATTTGCTGGGGGGAAAAGGAGCCTTGAAAGGAAGAGACTAGAGTAGTCAAGCGGTCAACTCTTGTCCCTCTGATCAATCTTTGTGGATGCAGAAGAGATCTCTTCAATGGGGTGCTCATGTGGCCCTATTATATAGTCAAAATCCGAGCCAAATTCTTCGCTATGGTTGGCCATTGACATCATTGGTCTCCTGCACTGAGCCACCAAGACAGCCTAAAAACTTTCTAAATCCCAACCACCAGACTCCTATTACTACTGCTCATCTCTCCCTTATATCCACAGAGTTCCTGTATTGTCAATCAAATGAGTATGCACACAGGAATCCAATAGCAAGTCAGATGGGTTGGGCAACACTGAACATCTCCTTCCCAGACCGTTCTCTGATCAGCAAAGAATTCCACTGACAACCATTACTCTCTTTCATAAATCCACTGGAGAGGGGTATGGAGGGAACAGGAGTTATGACAGTAGAAGGCAGTGATGAGCTGCCAAAATCTTAACAACCGGTTCCCTATACAAAGTTCTGGTTTAAGGGATGTGCCCCAGTATGTATTTTTTGTACCAACAGGGTTACCATACGTTCGTATTTTCCCGGGAGGAATTTTTAAAATTTAAAAATTCCTCCCGGACGGCAATTTAAGAACCAAAAAGCCTGACCTGTCTGGGAAAATACAGGTGTGTGTTAACCCTGCCTAAAGTTCTTTTTTAAAAAGATGGACCTGAACTAGAAATGAGCTCCGTTTCACATGTGTGGGTCCCTGCCACTCCCTGGGGGTGTGCTAGGGTGACCAGATGTCCCGATTTTATAGGGACAGTCCCGATTTTAGGGTCTTTTTCTTATATAGGCTCCTATTACCTCCCACCCCCTGTCCTGATTTTTCACACTTGCTGTCTGGTTACCCTAGGGTGTGCACATGTGTGGGTCCCAGCTGCTCCCTGCCCCCCTCATTGAGGCTGGTGTGCAGGGTTACTGCCCTGGGAACTGCGGGGCACCAGTGGACGTGGGGCCAGCTGCAGACAGGGGCGTGGGACAGGGCTAGCTGGAGGCAGGGGGTGCAGGGCTGGCTGTGGGCAGGGGGTGCGAAGCTGGCTGGAGACAGGAGGGTGCAGGGCTGGCTGGAGGCAACGGGGTGTGGAGCTGGCTGGAGACAGGAAAGGGGCTGGCTGGAGGTAGGGGCTGGCTGCGGGCAGGGCAGGGGGTGTGGCAGGGGCTGGCTGCAGGCAGAGGGTGTGGGGGTGGCTGGAGACGGGCTGGCTGTGGGCAGGGCAGGAGGTGCGGCTGGGGCTGGAGACAGGGGCTGGCTGCGGGCAGGGCAGGGAGGGGGTGTGGCAGGGATTGGCTGAATACAGGGCAGGGAGTGCGGCAGGGGGTGCGGTAGGGGCTGGCTGCGGGCAGGGCAGGGGGTGCGGCAGGGGCTGGCTGCGGGCAGGGCAGGGGGTGCGGCAGGGGCTGGCTGCGGGCAGGGCAGGGGGTGCGGCGGGGGGCTGGCTGCGGGCAGGGCAGGGGCTGGCTGTGGGCAGGGTGGTGGGTGCTCACGGGGAGAGCAGCAGGACACAGCCCAGGCCCAGCAGAGCAGCCGGGGACCCACCAGGCAGCATCGGGAGCCCCAGGGCCAGGGGTCAGGGGAGCAGCAGCAACAGGGCTCGTGCCCAGGGCCAGGCAGCAGCCCACATGGCTCCCGCAGTGCAGCGCCCCCGGTGGCCAGAGGAGGAATTACATCACTTCCCGGCCAGAGCCCATCAACGCCTCAGCGCCCCCTGCAGGGAAGCGGGTTAACAACCGGTTCTAAAACTGCTTCAAAATTTAACAACCCGTTCGCGTGCACTGGTGCGAACCGGCTCCAGCTCACCACTTTACCTGATGTCGGTGAGGCTGGGGCTGGTCAGGATAAGGAGATGCATGTCTTCTGCGCACCCATCAGTGTAAACATTCGCACTCAGGTTCAGATGCCGGAGGGTGGAGTTTTTGGAGAGAGCAGAGCAGAGTCTCCCACAGGAGTCATCTGATAAACCATTTTCCTGAAGGCTGCGTCAGAGCATTGGACAAATCCATTAGAGAAATGGGCTACATTGACAGTTCATATCTAATCGCTTGTGCCCATCTGAGCATCTCCCCACCATCTTCCCTACTTTGTTATTGATATTCATATTATGAGAACACCTAGAAATGTTGATCAGGGTTTCATTCTGCTCAGCGTACAGCCAGGGCTGGTCAAAACTGTTTTTCAGTAAAAAATTTGGGTTTTATGAAAAAATTTTGCAAAAAAGTGTACACTTTCTACAGAAATTTGGAGGGGGGGGGGACATTTTAACCAAAAAGCTGATGCTCTAGAAGCCATTAGTGCCCTCAGGCAGAAGTGTCACCATCAGGTTGATACTTACACTAATTTCTGAATCTTGCATTGTGGGGTCTCAAGCACCTCTAACAGGGTGGAAAGGCCAGTGTTCCGCATTTTGTTTCTGGTCAGATCAAGACTGAAGAGGGTCTGGTTCTCCTTGAGGGCAGAGGCCAGGGCTGTACAGCTTGCTTCTGTGAACATGTTCTGCCCTAGGCTAGAGAGCAGAGAGGAAAAGAGAGAGAGAGTGAAAGGGAGAAGGAGGAAAAGATAAAGAGGAGATGAGGAACAAGACAATGACAAGTCAGGAAATGGAGTGAAAATAAAACAGTAGAAGAAACAGGAGGACAAATCAAAAAGAGAAAGTACCCAGAATAATAGACAGTGGGGCAGGAGGGTGGGTGAAAGGAGTCGTGGACAATGAATGAAAGAAAGAATAGGAGAGAGGCCCCATGAATCACCCAGATGTGAAGGAGCAGACAAATCAGAATGAACGAAAACCACATGAGGGTGGAATGCAAGAGCCACAATGCAGAGAAAGGATGGAAGCCATAGGAGCAGAATGAGGAAGAAACAGGAAAAGGTTACGTTAGCTTTTCACTTACTACATGTTTGACGCTCCAGTACTCCACAGTGTTTTTGAGAGCCAAGCTGGCTGCATGTTGGGATATGATTCTGTCTTTGGGACTCTAGCAGAGGGATTAATACAGTGCAATAAAAGGCAGTCTCAGGAAGAGAAACGTTGAATTATGATCCAGTGTTAGACATGGGGCATCTGGTCCATGCCCAGGATGCTAGAGTAGGATTGTTCCCAAACATCTATTCTCCAGTGTCTTGGCCATACTGGCTGCAAAGTCTTTTTCAGCTGTTCCTGCTTGCTAGGTTTCTCCTTCCTATCAGGTATATGTATTTTGAATGATTTATCCTTGGATGTGTTAGCTTTGTTTGTACAAGTTGAACCTGAACTTGTTTCCTGCCCATGGTTTTAATCTCTCTAGGCCCCTTTGGGCTTGACTACAAACAGATTTGCACTGAAATAATTCACATTTTAATTCACATCCTTTGTTATTTTGGTACAAGTCTGTGTGAACACTGATATTTCCAAATAAAATTATCCTATTTTGATTTAACTTACTTTGTTTTCTAAAAGCCTTTGGCTAAACTGAAATAGGACACTTTTTTTTTTATTCTGAGATAAGAGTATCCACACACACATTTGCTTTGAAATAATTTAATGTGAATTCATATATTCATATATTTTAAGGCCAGAAGGGACCGCATTACCCCTTCTGCTTAACAATCTGTCCCAACTTGTATTTAGCTCAGACACTCTACTTCCTTCCCTAGACCAGAAGAAGAGCTCTGTGAAGCTCTAAAGCTTGTGCCTTCCATCAACAGAAGTTGATCTAATAAAAGATACTACCTCACTTACCTTGTTTTCTGTGCAGGTACTTATAGATAGTGATCAGTCATCCCTTAACCTTCTCTTTGTTAAACTAACAGATTGAGCTCCATGAATTTCTTTTCCAATCCTTTAAGCATTCTCATGGCTCTTCTCTGCCCCATCAGCCATTCCATTATTTTGCCCAGAAACAAAGTTAGGCTGACAAACCTATAATTATCTGAGTCATCCCTCTTTTTAAAAATTGGCACAACGTTAGCTTTCTTCTAGTCCTTTGGAACTTCCCTAGTGTTCCAGGATGTACTGAAACTCAACATTCACAGTCCAGTGATCTGCTCAGCCTGCTCTTTTAAAACTCTCAGATCCAAGCTATGGGTGATTTAAGAGTGTCTGACTTTAGTAGCTATTAAAACTGATTCAGTTTTTCCAGTTAGTTTGTGTAGACAAGCCCTTTGTATCGTTTCTGTTCTCAATGCTGTTTGCAACTCCTCCCAATTTACTGTGATCTCTGAATGTAATTAACATGGTCTTTACTCCCTGTTCCAAGCAATTTATTAAAATACTAAATAAAATAGGCCCTAACTCCAGTCCACAGAGTAAGCCACAAAGTGCCTCCTCACAACATTATGATCGGCCGTTTATCATTACCCTTCCGCCCACTTTCATGCTATATACTGACATATCCAAACCAATATAAATTAATTTTTCAAATGAGATGTTGAGATACACTGTATCAAATGCTTTACTAAAATCCTGAGCCATTATCTCAGCTGCATTCCTTTCATATAGAAATGTATTCAACCAGTTTTGAGGGTACAGGGAAAATCCAGTATGTTGTTGCAAATCTATGAATAATTATGCTTCTCCAATGACCAGTAAGATGACCCTCAATATTTTATAAGCCAAGAGTAGTTTGTATCTTAACTATTCCCTAATTTGGACATTCAGAATTAACACAGTATAGTATTATTTACAGGAATCATTTCACCCCGTACTGAAAAGCCGTCACCTCTGCAGTGGGGACCAGAAGCTGCGTAGCAGCATACAGCAATATCACTTACAGGCTAGAGCAATTAGTGAAGACTTTTCTAACAAACAGAAACAGCGGAGGGCATTTAGGGAAACAGAGTTCAACAAATCCAATTAGAATTTGACCAGGTCATGAGATTTGATGCTTCTAATCTTGTGAAGGCCGCCACGGGAACTTTAATGGTCACAAGCACCCAGGAGGGACCTAAGTTTTGTGTCTCCGTAGCAAAGCCCTTGCTGGGATATTGGTTGAGCAGTGACTGAAAGGGAAGAGTGCCAGGCCACATAGTACGTGATCATCCCCACTTCACGCAGCAAGCCAACTTTGCCTGGTGAGTCACTCATCGGGTCCAATGCCACTTAGCTTTTTGAAGATAGGACAAGACCGCAGAACAAGACAGTACAACTGCAGGCATATCACTTATTTGGAAATCAAAAACACTGAATTACTCTGAGGACACAGACAGAAAACAAGCATGACGTTACCTCAGGTCTTCTAGCCTACAGTTTGGATGCTTTAGTACAGAGCAAATATTCTTCATTGAATCATCCTTCAAATCGTTGTCTGAGAGGCTGGGGGGGAAATGAATAGAGAGAATTACAGGCTTGGACTCAGACACATTGTGTTAGCTTCAAAGCTGAAATCCTGGGCTGAGCTTCCTCTTCAGTCCCTTGGAGGAGTACTGTTTACTAAGACAGCATGGACCTGTGGATAAGGCACAAAACTGACAAGCAGGACTTCTGGAATCCATCTCCAACTCTGTTACAAATGAAAAATTACAATTTGCACATGCTCAGCAGGGACTGGTAGAGCTTAACAGCTAAAAGGTCCCAAGATCCCATCCTCGCTGAGCAGGCTCCAGCCTCTCTCCACTCCTAGTGCTGCCCAGACTGCTCATGCACCATCCCCACAGAGCTAAACTGAACATGATTTCAGCTGCTCTGGGCTGGGGTGGAACCAAAACCCAGAACTCGGAGCAAGGAACCAGCCCATCAATGTCCCCATTATCTCTCCTGCTGGGGCCCAGGCTGCACAGAGGAGGAGGATGCCTGATTTGAATGCAGAAAAGACAAAAGCCAGACCAGGATGAAGGAAAGGAGTAGCCTGGGACAAGGAGTATGGTGAGACTGGGACTGGGAGTTGAGGGGAGACTGGGACTGGCTGAGCAAGGAGTCTGGGAGCTGGTGGCGGATAGGGTAGATTGAGACTGATTGCTGGGCAAAGAAACTGGATAAGGAGCTGGGGACGCCTGGGGCAGGGCAGTAACTGAGTTTGAATGAGGAGCCCATAGATGGAAACTGGAACTGGAAACCAGTGTCGGCAGAGGGGAGAGACAGCTCAGACAAGGAGCCAGGCATTGGGAACTGGGACTGGCTGGGCAAGGAGACTGGGACTGGGCTTAGGGAAAGGGAGAGACTGGGATTGTGGGGGAGTGTGGGACTTGGACAGCAAGCCTGGAGGGATTGACTAGGACTGGCTGGGCAAGGTGACTGAGACTGGGAGGTGAAGCCTGAGTAGTGGAGACTGGGACTGGGACTGGGTAGACAGCCGGTATCAAGTGGAGTGCCCCAAGGGTCGGTCCTGGGGCCGGTTTTGTTCAAAATCTTCATAAATGATCTGGAGGATGGTGTGGATTGCACTCTCAGCAAATTTGCGGATGATACTAAACTGGGAGGAGTGGTAGATACGCTGGAGGGGAGGGATAGGATACAGAAGGACCTAGACAAATTGGAGGATTGGGCCAAAAGAAATCTGATGAGGTTCAATAAGGATAAGTGCAGGGTCCTGCACTTAGGACGGAAGAACCCAATGCACAGCTACAGACTAGGGACCGAATGGCTAGGCAGCAGTTCTGCGGAAAAGGACCTAGGGGTGGACGAGAAGCTGGATATGAGTCAGCAGTGTGCCCTTGTTGCCAAGAAGGCCAATGGCATTTTGGGATGTATAAGTAGGGGCATAGCGAGCAGATCAAGGGACGTGATCGTTCCCCTCTATTCGACATTGGTGAGGCCTCATCTGGAGTACTGTGTCCAGTTTTGGGCCCCACACTTCAAGAAGGATGTGGATAAATTGGAGAGAGTCCAGCGAAGGGCAACAAAAATGATTAGGGGTCTGGAACACATGAGTTATGAGGAGAGGCTGAGGGAGCTGGGATTGTTTAGCCTGCAGAAGAGAAGAATGAGGGGGGATTTGATAGCTGCTTTCAACTACCTGAAAGGGGGTTCCAAAGAGGATGGCTCTAGACTGTTCTCAATGGTAGCAGATGACAGAACGAGGAGTAATGGTCTCAAGCTGCAGTGGGGGAGGTTTAGATTGGATATTAGGAAAAACTTTTTCACTAAGAGGGTGGTGAAACACTGGAATGCGTTACCTAGGGAGGTGGTAGAATCTCCTTCCTTAGAGGTTTTTAAGGTCAGGCTTGACAAAGCCCTGGCTGGGATGATTTAACTAGGAATTGGTCCTGCTTTGAGCAGGGGGGTTGGACTAGATGACCTTCTGGGGTCCCTTCCAACCCTTATATTCTATGATTCTATGATTCTATGACAAGGAGAATGGAACTGGAACAAGGACCACAGGTAGAGAAGAGACCTGACCTGACTGTGATAGGATGGAGGAAAACAGCAGAAGAGTCTGTGCCCACTAGAGCACACTCCCCTCCAAAGTCTGGAATGGACCCCAAGATTCCTGAGTCTAACCATTCCTCGCTGTCAGCAAATAGCTGTAAAATCCAGTGGCAAGGGGTGTCATCCTTAGAGACAATACAGTGGGTGACAACCTACTACTGTTACCAGTTACTCAGTTAGGTCAAGTGGTAGAGGTCTGTGCAATGGATCTAGACCCTGCTAATAGCCTATGTGGCTGTCAATAAGAGGCAACACGATGGGATTTCTGGTGGGGGGGGGTGTTTGTTTGCTTTTTCTAAAACCTAGGAAATTACACACACAAAACACAGGTCTAAGTTAAAAGAACATTATTAAGGTTGCAAAGTGAAGCACTCAAAATTTAGGAAATGCCATGTCATAAACATACAGCTAAGGGTAGCATAAAGTCCCTCCTTTACCTGTAAAGGGTTAAGAAACTCAGATAACCTGGTTAGCACCTGACCAAAAGGACCAATAAGGGGAGAAGATACTTTGAAATCTGTGGGGGAAGGTTTTTGTTTTGTGTTTGTGTGTTCTCTCTGGAGACACAAAAAGAGACAGACCAAGTAATCCAGCTCCAACTGAATGATATATCTAAAATTACAGAAATAGTCAGTAATAGCAAGGAAATGCATTTGAGTATATCTTGTTTTAGCTTGTAAATTTTCCCTATGCTAAGAGGGAGGTTTATTCCTGTTTTTGGTAACTTTAAAGTTTTGCCTAGAGAGGAATCCTCTGTTTTAAATCTTATTACCCTGTAAAATTATCTTCCATCCTGATTTTACAGAGGTGTTTCTTTTACTTTTTTTTCTTTATAATAAAAGTTCTGTTTTTAAGAACCTGATTGGGGTTTTTAGTACCCTAAAAACCCAAGGGTCTGGTCTATGCTCACGTTGTTTACTCTCAAGCCTCCCCAGGAAAGGGGGTGAAGGGGCTTGGGGGGATATTTTGGGGAAACAGGAACTCCAAGTGGTCCTTTTCCTAAATCTTTGTCTAACTCACTTGGTGGTGACAGCGATTCCATTCCAAGGACAAGGAGGTATTTGTGCCTTGGGGAAGTTTTTAACCTAAGCTGGTAGAAATAAGCTTACGGGGTCTTTCATGCAGATCCCCACATCTGTACCCTAGAGCTCAGAGTGGGGAGGGAACACTGACATGCCAGTATTTAAGGTTGTCTGTGTAATCTTAATTAGCCCCGTATACATATTCATTATGATAGGATGGGTTTGGTGGTATGTTACCGAATGGTGTAACCTCTGTATCAGTAACACTGTTGTCTGCCTGACAGCACTGCTGAGGCCACTGACATGTCAAGTCTCTGATATTTTCAACTTTATATACAACCTCTTTTCCTACCTCAGTTCTCTGACTTTGTGCATCTCCGGTCTGAGTCGCTCCAGGCCCTCGTTCTGGATGAAGCAGGAATCTAGGGTTAGGCGTTGTATTTCTTCACAGCAACTCAGAACATAAGCAAGGACTGTGCAATCCACTGGCATGAGGTATAACTCTGAGAAGTCCATGTGGGCATCTTTGCCCAACACATCACGCACAAGTTGGCTATTCCGGGATTCAAACAGCAAATTCAATAAATTCATCAGCCTTCTCTTCCCTTCAGGATCTTCTCTGCTTTGCAGCTCTTCATAGTTCATCTCACTGAGGCACTCAATAACCTTGCGAGTTGCCTCTGCAGAGAACTTCCCCACATATTTCTCCAGGGGCATCTTGGTTGCAGGATGGGAGAGGCCAACCAGGAAGCGAGAGAAGATCTCATAATCACCTTCCTTACAGGACCTGGCTTTATCCATTGTGTCTCTGAACTTGTCCTCTTTGTAATCGAGATAATGCACGAGGGCAGCAAAGAACTCCTGGATAGTGAGGTGAAGGAAGGAGTAGGTCACCTGGGCAGAGTCATCAGTTTGAGGGTTCTCCACCAAGAAGCCACTGAGGAAGGGAGAAAACTCCACATTGGCAACCTCTAAGTAGTGCGGCTGAAAGACAAGTGTGCGATATGTGAGGCCATATTCAGCCAACCGTCCGACATTTACCAATGTATCTCGCATCCTCTGAGGCTCAGGCCGCTCCTGGGTGTGATTGGCCATAATATGGGTGACGTAGCTGACAAAGAGCTGGGTCACTGTTTTGGGTGCAGGCTGTGGTCTCCCTGCCGCGGCCATGAAGCAGGGTTTCAGGGCCATGCAGGTGATCCAGCAGTAAGACGGGTTGTAGCACAGCGTGTACAGAACCTGACTGTCCCTCACATATGCAAAGGCCTCTCTAGAGGCTCGCTCGTCTCCAAAGAACATGGAAAAGTATCTTTCCCTTTCCTTGGAGAGGAAGCCCACGATACTGGCCACCCTATGGAAGACTCCAGCCTCCAAACTGGTCAACTTGCTGGGGCGGCTGGTCAGCAGCACAGAACATCCCTTCAGCAGAGTCTGATTCAGCAGGCTGGCAACAATCACAGTAACTGGCTTCACATCCCCCAGGTTCATACACAGCTCCTGGGATCCACCTCTGCTTAATTTCAAATCAGTCTTGCTCTCATCCAAGCCATCAAAGATGAAGAGCAACTTCTCAGGGTCTTCCAGGACTCTTGGGAGCTTGTCCTGGAGGTGCGGATATGTTTGACAGATCAGAGACTCTAGGCTTCTCTTCTGAGTAATAGTGTTCAGGTCCCGGAACTTGAAGAAGAAAACAAAGGCAAATTTCTGGTAGTGCTTCCCCATTGCCCAGTCAAAGATGAATTTCTGCACCAGGGTTGTCTTGCCTACGCCAGCTACTCCGCTCACCATCACAGACAGGGGGACATGGTGGGTTCGAAAGCACCAGCGGAAGAGCCGGTCAGGGGTGATGCACTCCAGCTCACTCTTTATTCTTCTCTGGAGGCGATATTCATTCAGCTCCCCAGCTGCTGCTAGGGCCTCGTGCTCCTGGTGTGTCTGCTTCTTGAAGTGACGGTCTGAGATGACCTTGAGCTCCACGTAGCGGTTAGAGATGGGGAAAATCTGTCCTTCAGATCGCCCTGACATCTTGTTTTCCTTCATCATCCCTGTGAGATCACAGAGTTTGTCTTTGTGCTCTACTTGACAAGCTGAAAAGGAGAAATATGGTTATTTCCCCTCTCCCTCACCTCATCACTGTTTGTTTTTTGAGGGTTAGTAAATGGAAGTTTTGATAGAAAAACTTCTCCTCTAAATTGTACTCTAATCAGACAATATGGTGAGGGAATTAGGTGGATGGTTGCTCTGGACTCACTTGTTTCATCTCCTCTCTCCTCTGCTGGGCCTGATCATGAATAGTTCTACTGGAATTTGCCCTGAGTCTGACAGGGCACCGCTGCACTACCTGGTCCAGCTCATGTAATCCAGTAGGGAACAGAAACTTACCAGAATCCCTGCACTTGAGCAGAGGGACAGAGGCAAAGCAGAGATCCCCAGAGACAATTTGGATACCCAGAAAAGACTTTCGGGAAACTGGCAGTTTATTACATCACTGCCACCATTTTGAATTACAAACTGTGACTCACCTGTGTGCATAGTTTACTGGCTTTAACCTCTCAATAACTCTCATTTCCTTTTCTTAGCTAATAAAGCTTTAGTTTACTATAGAATTGGCTACCAATGTTGTCTTTGGTCTAAGATCTAGAGTACCCATTGATCTGGGGTAAGTGACTGGTTTCTTAGGACTGGCAGTAACCTGATGTGGTGTGATTTCTGGTTTAAGTGACCTTTTATCACAAAGTCCAGTTTGTCTGGGTGGCAAGATAGACTAGAGAGTCTAAGGGGACTGTCTGTGACTCTATGGTAAGACTGAGATAGTGATCCAAGAGTTCATATTTGTCACTGGCTTGGTGCAATCTAATCATAGAACACACCACCAGTGTGGGGTCTCTTCTCTGTTTTCTGACAGTCTGCCCTGAGGTGCGCACTCACAGTCATGAGCCACTTCAGACAGTGTGACCAGGTTTGCTCCCTCCTAGTGCTTCCTGGGATACAAACCCCCAGTGGAGCAGGCAGGATGCAAGGCTATAGTCCTGTCCTTCCTCTATACTGCACACCAGAGCTGGTTGGACACACGGGTATATGCTGCATCCCTTGGATGGGGGAAGCAGAAGACATGCTCCCCCACAGGCTGCGGAACTCCAAGAGGAACTGTGCCCCATTGAAGCACAACGCCCCTCAGCACTCCCTCTGGGGCCAGCAGCCTCCACATTGCCCCCAGGGCAGGCCTGTGATCGAGCCCTTCTTGGCTTGACAAGAGACACAGTGTTGGCAGAGTTAAGTGCAGTTCAGTTCCCTCACGGTACCTTTCAGTTCTGGGTCAAGGGCGTGTCCTGATTCATTCAGGAGAATTTCCAGTAACAGATTGTGACCTAAACAGAGAGAGAGATACAGACTGCACGGTTAGCTGGCATGGAAGAGTGTACCCAATGCTTGTACGTTAGCAGCTCCAATAGATCCAGTCCAACTCTGAATTCCACCTGTGGGGCTCCATGTTTTGGATCTCAGGACCTGCAGGCTAATGAGGTCTCAGTGACATTGGACCCAAAGAACCATTGTGTTGCCCTCCCCTGCTACTGGCTGCTCTATTCTGTACCTCCCATTCCCCTGTATTCCCCCTTCGATCTCCTTCCTGCTCCCCACATTCCCGTGCCCCTGTGATGGAGTGCTGGGCAGCAGCAGGTAGACCAGGACTCTGATCACTGGATCGCCAATTCAATCGCCCCACACTAAACCTGGGGGGCAAGCTGTGCATAACTGATAGACAGGAAATGGGCTGGATTAGCCCAGAAAGTAGAAAATGTCCAGGAAGGGAGTGCTCAGGGAGGAAGGGAGTAACAAGCCTTGTGGATGGGGGGAAGCGGTGGATGTGGTATATTTTGACATTACTAAGGCTTTTGATACGGTCTTGCATGACCCCACAAACAAACTAGAGAAATACAACCTAGTTGGTGCTTGTCAAGGTTCCTTCCCCACTCTAAACTCTAGGGTACAGATGTGGGGACCTGCATGAAAACCTCCTAAGCTTACTTTTACCAGCTTAGGTTAAAACTTCCCCAAGGTACAAACTATTTTACCCTTTGCCCTTGGACTTCCACTGCCACCACCAAACCATATCTGGGTTTATTTTTATTAGGAAAGCATTGTTTGGAAATGTCTTTTCCCCCAAAATCCTCCCAACCCTTACACCCCACTTCCTGGGGAAGGTTTGGTAAAAATCCTCACCAATTTGCATAGGTGACCACAGACCCAACCCCTTGGATCTTAAGAACAATGAATAAGCATTCAGTTTCTGAAAAGAAGGATTTTAATAGAAGAAGTAAAAAGTAAAAAAGAATCACTTTTGTAAAATCAGGATGGTAAATACCTTACAGGGTAATTAGATTCAAAACATAGAGAATCCCTCTAGGCAAAACCTTAAGTTACAAAAAGACACATAGACAGGAATATTCATTCTATTCAGCACAACTTAATTTCTCAGCCATTTAAAGAAATCATAATCTAACGCATATCTAGCTAGATTACTTACTAAGTTCTAAAACTCCATTCCTGTTCTGTCCCCGGCAAAAGCATCACACAGATAGACACAGACCCTTTTGTTCTTCTCCCTCCTCCCAGCTTTTGAAAGTATCTTGTCTCCTCATTGGTCATTTTGGTCAGGTGCCAGCGAGGTTATCCTAGCTTCTTAACCCTTTACAGGTGAAAGGATTTTTCCTCTGGCCAGGAGGGATTTTAAAAGTGTTTACCCTTCCCTTTATATTTATGACAGTGCTACTATAAGGAGGGTGCATAACTGGTTGGAAAACCATTCCTAGAGAGTAGTTAGCGGTTCACAGTCATGCTGGAAGGACATGACAAGTGGGGTCCCGCAGGGATCAGTTCTGGGTCCAGTTCTGTTCAATATCCTTCATCAGTGATTTAGATAATAGCCTAGAGAGTACACTTATAAAGTTTGCAGCTGATACCATGCTGGGAGGGGTTGCAAGTGCTTTGGATAGGATAGGATTAAAATTCAAAATGATCTGGACAAACTGGAGAAATGGTCTGAAGTAAATAGAATGAAATTCAATAAGAACGAATGCAAACTACTCCACTTAGGAAGGAACAATCAGTTGCACACATACAAAATGGGAAATGGCTGCCTAGGAAGGAGTATTGCGGAAAGGGATCTGGGGGTCATAGTAGATCACAAAATTAATATGAGTCAAAAGTGTAACATTGTTGCAAAAAAAGCGAACATCGTTCCGGGCTGTATTAGTAGGAGTGTTGTAAGCAAGACACAAGGAGTAATTCTACTGCTCTACTCTGTGATGATTAGGCCTCAACTGGAGTACTGTGTCCAGTTCTGGGTGCCACATTTTAGGAAGGATGTGGACAAATTGGAGAAAGTCCAGAGAAGAGTGACAAACATGATTAAAGGTCTAGAAAACATGACCTAGGAGGGAAGATTGAAAAAATTGGGTTTGGAGAAAAGAAGACTGAGGGGGGACATAACAGTTTTCAAGTACATAAAAGGTTGTTACAAGGAGAAGAGAGAGAAATTATTCTCTTTAACCTCTGAGGATACGTCAAGAAGCAATGGGCTTAAATTGCAGCAAGGGCGGTTTAGGTTGGACATTAGGAAAAACTTCCTGTCAGGGTGGTTAAGCACTGGAATAAATTACCTAGGGAGGTTGTGGAATCTCTATCACTGGAGATTTTTAAGATCAGGTTAGAGAAGTACACATCAGGGATGGTCTAGATTATACTTAGTCCTGCCTTGAGTGCAGGGGACTGAACTAGAAGATCTCTCGAGGTCTCTTCTAGTCCTATGATTCTATGAGTTGCGAGGTATACTGAAAATATGTTCCTAAAGTCTGTGTCAAGGCAGAGTTGACAAATAGGTTTTCTATCAGATCAAAGATGTTTATTTACCTGTCCACATGTAAATTAAACATTGTAAGCCAAGACAATAGAAACTCTATTTACATATGAAGTCAACAGGGAGGCAGCTCACCAAAGAATAAGTTATGGGGGTTGTCATGACTCTGGTGACAAACAATAAACTTCGGGAGATATAAGAAGGTAAGGAAGACACCCCTTTATCCTGCACTTAGTAATCACACTGCCCAATTACTTCCTGTGACGTGTCATTCCATATTCTTTATGAAAATATGCTTATGATATGAATATGACATAACTGAGATATACTTTATATTGTTCTCTTGGGGACAGCAGACCTGGTATCACTGAGAGTGTTCAGTGGAGGACAGGCTGGACACTCCAGGGGGACGCTTCAAAGGGGCTCAGGGACTGGGGTGCACCTAGTGTTAGCCTGAAGGCAATGTAAGGGGGCATAGCCTGGAGGAGGTTGCTCAGGTGGTAATAGGCTCATGGTGTCAGGGAGCTGACACCCAGTTAAGTACAAGCAAGACACCCTCACGGTGGAGGCAGAGGGGTGACTTACATTACTGGGTACCCCAAGAACCATCACATACGGATCTTGGCATACATGCCCATATAGCTGTGTCACAGCCCGCTACGGCACCAGTGCAGGCGCAGGGCATGACAGCATCGTAGTGTGGTCACACTATGGTGAGTTAGACTACCACAGGTTAAATTACCCTGTGCTTAGCATGCAGTGAAGACATAGCTTATGATTAATTAATGAACCCCACAGAAAACAGCCTTGATCTGAGGGCTTGACAAGGAAAAGCCTGTAGTGAAGAACATAGGTTCCCATGGATTCCCCCAGTTGACTTGTTTCCCACTCTGTGCGATGACTACGTTACCATTCTGAATTATTTCATCCAGCATCCCATGGAGATTAGGGTGAGCCCACCTGCTCTGCAGAGCAAACAGACACTCCCAGAGACCCAGCCTCACAGCATAGCTCACAGCGAAAATATCACCCACTAGCTTCTCTGCGGTGCTGGTTGAGTCATGGTTCTTCTCCCAGCCACTATAATCCTAAAACACAGAGGGACACAAGAGGCGGAAGAATCAGAAGCAGACTGCAATGGCAGGGCAGGGGAGGGGGAGCTTCTATAATAGTAATCAGAAGAGTGACATAGAATCATAGATATGGAGGACAGAAAGGGACCTAGATCAGGGGTGGGCAAACTTTTTGGCCTGAGGGCCACATCAGGTTGCGCAACTGTATGGAGGGCCGGGTAGGGAAGGCTGTGCCCCACAAACAGCCTGGCCCCTGCCCCCTATTCGCCCCCTCCCACTTCCCGTCCCCTGACTGCCTCCTCCTGGGACTCCCTGCCACAAACTGCCCCCCTGGATCACACCCCCTATCCAACCCTCCCTGCTCCCTGTACCCTGACTCCCCAACCTAACCACACCCCCACCCCCTGACAGGCCCCCTGGGACTCCCACACTCTATCCAATCCCCCCTGTTCCCCAACCCCTGATCTCCCCAGAACCTCCACCCCATCCAACCACCCCCTGCTCCCTGTGCCCTGACTGCCCCTCAGGACCTGCTACCCAACCCCCCCACTGCTACCCCTGTACCATGCCGCTCAGAGTGGCAGGAGCTCACAGCCCCGCTGCCCACATGGCGGCTTAGCTGCGTGGGAAGAGGAACAGCGGGGAAGGGCCAGGGGCAAACCTCCTGGGCAAGGAGCTCAGGGGCTGGGCAGGACGGTCCCGCGGGCACCTCTGACCTAGATAGATCATCTAGTCCAGTCTCTACCACTGACGCAGGGCTCAGTATTATCCAAACCATCCCTGACAGGTGTTTGTCTAACCTGTTCTTAACCACCTCCAATGATGAGGATTCCACAACCTCCCTAGGTAATTTGTTCCAGTGCTTAACCACTCTGACCATTTGGAAATTTTTCCTAACGTCCAACGTAAACTGCCCTTGCTGCAATTTAAGCCCATTGCTTCTTGTCCTATCCTCAGTGGTTAAAGAGAACAGTTTATCACCCTCCTCTTTACAGCAAGCTTTTACATACTTGAAGACTGTTATCATGTCCCCCCTCAGTCTTCTCTTCTCCAGACCTAACAAACCCTTTTAAAAAAATCTTTCAGAGTAGGTCATGGTTTCTAGACCTTTAATTAATTTTGTTACTCTTCTCTGGACTGTCTCTAATTTGTCCACATCTTTCCCAATGTGTGGTACCCAGAACTGGACCCAGTACTCCACTTGAGGCCTTATCAGTGGCCCATAACATCCTATGGCCAAGGGCTACATCCTGAAAGTGACCATCTGGGCACTTGGTCCATGATTATAAGGGCAACAAAAGGCTCTGCCATAGCAGAGTGACCTGGTGATGGAGTAAAGGCTGCATGTGGCACTGATAGACCACCCCCCGCTCTCACTCCCCAAATCAACCGAGATTTGGGACACTGAAGCATTTCCATTGCTAGGAGAGGTGTGGGGTAGGGGGTCCTACTCTTACAGACCCCTCTAGTGGCCTCCTCAGGAATTATAATTAAGGGAATGGAATGAATGGATTGTTTCTCTTTCAGAAAACACTTTTGCATGCAGAGACAGAGCCGACCCATGCCTGCTGTAGCTGAAAGGGAGCCTGAGACACAAAGCCTTGTGTCAGAGCCCAATATGGGGCCTGAGGCCTGAACTAAAGTAGCGGTCAAGCCTTCCTAATATAAAGCAAAGTGAGCAAGAGACAGGCTGTGCGCAGAAGTCAGGCTCTGTCTGCGTGCAGGCTCACAGAATGTGGCAAGACCAAGGCTGGTTTAACAAAAACACACACATCCCCGAGAAGTGCTTGGCATAGGACACTCATGCAAACACATTCCGGAAGGATGGTACCAGAACATCCCGATACCAAGTATGGGACAAACACACTCCCCAAAGATGATACAAGGATACACTGACCCCCAGTTAGGGTGACCAGATAGCAAGTGTGAAAAATCGGGACAGGGAGTGGGGGGTAATAGGAGCCTATATAAGAAAAAGCTCCAAAAATCGGAACTGTCCCTGTAAAATTGGGACATCTGGTCACCCTGCCCTCAGTGTGATGGATAGAGATGTTTTGATCAAACCAACAAGTACAAGGTAATGGGTGGTAACAAACCACCTTAGGGGGCAGTAACTAACTTCATCAGAGGGGCAATATGTAGCTTGTTTGTATGGGTGTATAAAGAGGTATCTCAGGGTATGCCTATACTACCCGCCAGGTTGTCTAGACACAATAAATCGATCCCCGAGCACTCTCCCGTCGACTCCTGTACTGCACCGACATGAGAAGTGCAGGCGGAGTCGACGGGGGAGCAGCAGCTGTCGACTCACCGCAGTGAAGACGCTGCGCTGAGTAGATCTAAGTACGTCGACTTCAGCTATGTTATTCACATAGCTGAAGTTGTGTCACTTAGATCCACACACTCACAGTAAGAAAAGGAGTACTTGTGGCACCTTACAGACTAACCAATTTATTTGAGCATAAGCTTTCGTGTGCTACAGCTCGCTTCATCGGAGGCATACTGTGGAAAGTGTAGAAGATCTTTTTATACACACAAAGCATGAAAAAATACCTCCCCCCACCAGCAGGAGAGTGGGGTGGGGGGAGGTATTTTTTCATGCTTTGTGTGTATAAAAAGATCTTCTACACTTTCCACAGTATGCCTCCGATGAAGCGAGCTGTAGCACACGAAAGCTTATGCTCAAATAAATTGGTTAGTCTGTAAGGTGCCACAAATACTCCTTTTCTTTTTGCGAATACAGACTAACACAGCTGTTACTCTGAAACCACACACACAGTGTAGACCAGGCCTCAGAGGGAGTGTCTTCGGCTGGCCTCAGGGGCAGTGGAAAGTCCTGCCACTGACTGACCTGCGTCCATTGTCACAGGCATACATGTCGTACTTGTACTTGTAGCAAGTATAGGGCACTAATACTGTGCTTTGTCGACAATAAACCTGGCCGGCTGCCTTCGCTTCTAACAGGTCTATGGTTATTGGGCAGTTCGATCGGAGCCTGCTGTGCAGCCCACGCGGAGAGAGGGAGCAGAGTGTGGGCAGCTGGCTTCAGCAGTGTTACTGAGCATGCTTAGTCCCCCAGCAGAAGTTCCTGGAGCCTGTTGTTATCTCTGCATGTCATGGCATGTATGGCCAGCAGCAGCCCTAGACACTCTCCTGCCCTGGAAAAAGACAACTCGGTGTGCACAAACCCTATCTGCCCTGATATCCACAGACAAGGTTTCTTTAGGGAAATGGGAATGGCAGCTTTAGCCAGGAGTCCATTGTTGTATGCAGGGTGCTGTACCTGGGCCTGCTGTGCAGTGATGACGCGTCCGTGGATGAGTTCCTGCAGCACCATGGGAATGTTGTTCTCTATGACATAGACCATGTCAGGGCGGAAGTGCTCGCTCAGCCTCCTCAGCTCCCAAGGGCTATAATTATCCATGTGTTTGCTGAAGGCTTTAACATCACCTGTGGAGAGGACCAGCACTTAGACACCGTGGCTCTTACTGACTGGCATGGACTCGTGCCCGTTCTGTGATCTCTAATCCCAGAGCTCAACTGTACTGCAGGCAGAGTGCTGCTTGGTCCATAATGAGAGGAGCCCGTCAGTCACACTCCGCTGTGGTCACAGTGGTTGATGCAGTAGGGAGTTGGGCAGGAGCATGAGCTGTGGGGAGCTCACAGATACTCTCCTCTCATCCTTTGCCCAGATTAGACTATTCAATTATAAAAAAAACTTAGAAGTGGCTCGTAGCTAAGGCTGTAGTTTGTACAGCACCTAGCACAACGGACTGGGGATCCATGACTGGGGCTCCTAGCTGCAGCAGTAATACAGATCATAAATACAGCTACAATTTTGTCACGGAGGTCGCAAAAGTCATGGAATCTGTGACTTCCAAAGACCTCTGTGACTTCAGCCCTGGTGGCTGGGAGCTGCCTCCTGCAGTGGAAGGGAGCTGTGAGGTACCCCCGCCGCCTGAGGCAGCAGTGCCCACAAGCTCCCAGCTGCCCTGGGCAGCGGGGGGTACCCTGCAGCTCCCCGCCACTGCAAGCAGGGGTGTACCCTGCATTTCCCAACCACTGTGGGGGACAGAGAGATCCCCGCAGTTCCCCTCCAGCTGCAGCGGCAGGGGGACCCTGGCAGCTCCCAGCCACCGCCACGGGACAGGGGGACCCCTGCAGCTCCCCGGCCACTGCCATGGGGCCAGGAAAACTCCAGCAGCTCCCCGCTGCCGCCGCGAGGCAGACGACCTTGGCAACTCCCCACCGCGGGGCATGGGGATCCTGGCAGCTCCCCACTACCACCGTGGGTGGGGGATCCCTGCAGCTCCCCACCGCTGCTGCCATGGAGCAGGAGTATCCTGGCAGCTCCCCGCCGCGGGGCAGGGGTATCCCAGCAGCTCCCCACCGCCACCATGGGGCAGGGGGATCCCACAGCTCCCAAATGTGGAGGCAGCAGGGTGATTCCCACAGCTCCCCACCACTGGGGAACGGGCAGGGGGATCCCAACAGCTCCCAAATGTGGGGGAGGCAATTCCCACAGTTCCCCACTGCTGGGGAAGGGGCAGGGGGACCCTGAAGCTCCCCTCTGCCATGGGGGCAAGGGGACCTTGGAGGTCTGAGCCCCCATGGGTGGTGGGGGCCCCAGAGCTCCCCAGCCACCCCACAGCTACCCAGTCCCTTCCCATGTTATCATGGATATTTTTATAAAAGTCATGGACAGGTCACGAGCTTCCGTGAATTCTTCTTTATTGCCGGAGACCTGTCCATGACTTTTACTAAAAATATCCATGCCCCAACCAGATATTCTGAAAACAGCATGAGATTGTCCACTGAGCACCAAACTCCCTTCTGCCCCCTGGATTTCCACACCCCACGGAAACAGATGTTTCTTGCAGCATGGTTGGAAGGTCAATAGACCTGGTCTATTTCAGGCTGGTGGGAAAGCTGTTCCCCAGCGGAGGGCCCCTCACAGGAAGTGCTCAGCTGCCAGCCCCCTCTCCTTAAAACCAAGGGGGACTAGCTCAGGCGCCTCTGCCTATCACAGCTGTGCCCATCTGGTACAAGAAGAAAGGGGGTCACTCAAGCAGCAAGGTCCCAGCCCCACCTAGGAGTTCACACATCAAATCCAGCACCTTATATTATTCAACCCACAAACCAATCAGTAGCCAGAGCAGATTAGAGCACGAGTAAAACATGCTGCCACCAAGGAGCATCACCTAAGAGGTGGGCTGCTGCATTCTGCACCCTTAGGTGTAGTCCTTTAGGAGGAAGCGCTGTAAGGAATGGGGCAGGGGCTATGGCAGTGGGGCTGAGCTCTATTGTAGGAGCAGTGCTGCTTTGTTCATGATTCGCAGATTCCAAGGCCAAATGGGACCACTGTGATAATCCAGTCTGCCCTCCGGTACGATGCAGGCCACAGAATTCCCCCAAATAATTCCTAGAGCAGAAAAACCTCCAGTCTTCATTTACAAACTGTCAGTGATGGAGAATCCACCACAGCACATGGTGGTTAATGACTCTCACTGTTAAAATGTACGCCTTATTTCCATTCTGAATGTTTCTAGCTTCAACTTCCAGCCATTGGATCATGTTAGACCTTTCTCTGTTTTACTGAAGAGCCCATTATTAAATATCTGTTCCCCGTGTAGATACTTATAGACTGTGATCGTCACCCCTTCACCTTCTCTTTGTTAAACTAAATAGATTGAGCTCTTTGAGTCTATCACTATCAGACCTGTTTTCTAATCCTTTGATCATTCTTATGACTCTTCTCTGAATCCTCTCAAATTTATCAACATCCTTCCTGAATTGTGGACACCAGAGCTGGACACAGGAGTCCAGTACTGGTCATAAAAGTGACAAATATAGAGATAAAATAACCTCTCTACTCCTATTCAGGATTCTCCTGTTTATGCATCTAAGGATCACAATTGCCCTTTTTAATCACACCATCCCACTGGGACCTCATGTTCAGCTGATTATCCATCAGGTGCCCCCAAATCTTTTTCAGAGTGACTGCTTCCCAGGGCTTAGTCCCTCATTCTGTAAGTACAGCCTACACTCTTTGTTCCAATATGTATACATTTAGCCATGTTAAAATGCATATTGTTTGCTTGCGCCATGCTCTGTGTCAGTGACCTGTCCTTTTCATTATTTACCACCCCCCAATTTGTGTGTCATTTGCAAACTTTGGCAATGATGATTTTATATTTTCTTCCAGGTCATTGGTAAACTGTCAGTTAGCATAGGGCTGAGAACTGATCCTTGCGGGACCCCATTAAAAACACAGCAGCTCGATGATTCCACACTTACAATCACATGTTGAGACCTATCAGTTAGCCAGCTTTTAAGCCACTTACTGTGCACCATGTTAATTTTATATCTTTCTAGTTTTTTCATCAAAATATCATGAGGTAGAAAGTCAAATGTCTTACAGAAGCCTTAATTATATTACATCACCACTATTACCCTTATCAACGAAACTCATCAAAAAAATATCAAGCTACGTTGACAGCAACTATTTTGCATAAATCCATGTTGATTGATATTAATTATATTACTTTCCTTTAATTCTTGATTAATAGTGAGATATGCCCATCAGTCACACTCACCTTCGGTTGCCGCAGACCTTTGTTTGGAAGCCATTTTATTCCCTCTGCGCCGTTTTCTCTCTGGAAAGTTTACGGAGAGGAAAATGTTCGTCAGACAGAGGCAGGGAGATCATTTCGCTCTACAGCTAAGACAGTCTCACATTTTGTTCTTAGTGTTTTAGGTCTTCGGAGAAATCTATGAAGACAGTTGATGCCCTCCATAAAGGGCTCCTGTCTCGGAATTAATAACATTCAGCATCAATCCAGGGATTCGCCTTCACAAACCTCAGCAAGCTCTACGAAGCTCTACGAACCGCGGTATTGCTAACGCCAAAAGTTCAAACATGATGAAATTAAAAAATGATGACATCATGGGGTTTGGTCTGTCTGCAAATTGCTGACCTTCTCCCACCAGCCCCACCAGGTGTGACACCTAGTGCACGCAACTCTCACAATTGGGCCATTTCAGCCGCAGGGGTGATGGAGCCAGAATACTCCAGAATGGTATTCCGGCACTTTTGCAGCCTGGAGGATGCCATTTTGCTCGCACAATAGCATCCTCCACAAAACATGTCCTTGCACTCAACACACATGCGAGGTCACACCGCATGGAGGGTGCCATTTTGTGGAACAAAATAGCACTTTCCAAACAGCATGACCTCAGACCTGTGTGCGAGGTCGCCCCAGTGGGGGCATTCTGGTCCCGTACAGTCCATTCGGGATACAGCACTAGCTTTCAGCTGCTGCTGCAGGAGCTCTTGTTAAAGGACCTACCCACGATTGGGACCCCATTGTGCAGGGCACTGTACAAACACATCGGAAGATACAGGGTACATCTGCACTGCAGCAGGAGGTGTAATGTCCAGCTTGGGTAGAGCTACATGTGCTAGCCCTGAGCGAGCTACTGCACTAAAACCAGAAGTGCAGCCAGTGAGCTGGGGGGGTAACATGGGCTGGCCATCTGAGTACATCCTGTCTGAGTCCGTAGATATGTTCCTGGGTAGCTAGCCTGTGCCACTGCAGCTACACTGCTGTTTTTAGCCTGCTAGTTTGATCAAAGCTGGCGCAGGTACATTTCACAATCCAGTGTTAAGCACAGTGATGTGGGAGCTGGAATTTGGACCCACCAAACTCATCTCCAGGCGCCCAGACAACCATTAGATGGGAATAACTTTTAATCCTAATTGTGCTGGGTAGGAATCGAACTGGAAACCTGCAGGGGAAAGGCTCCATAGTGCTTGAGCAATGAGGCAACCAGTCCCTACTGGGGCCAATGTTCCACCTTTGCAAATAAGGTGTCCTTCTGGCAAGATAACTTTGTTAAATCAAAGTGGGTTCTGACTACATCAGGATTTGAGTGGAGAACTGTGGTTTAGAGAATGCTTTATATTAAATGGTCCATTCTAAATAGAACATGTTTCCGTTCCCTGTCATTCCCTTTCATTTGCTCTAAATCAATGGTCAGATCTATCCAAGTGTCACTCCATGCAGCTCCCTGGGCTCATGTAACCCAGTGATGAGTAAGTATGACAAGCCCCTGCTGTGCTGATCTGCAAAGGATACGAGGTGTGTACATCAGGGCTGGGTGTAGTCCTGGTCCCCTGTCCCCTTCAAAGAGCCCTCAGGGGGCTGACTTAAGCCTGTTTTCTGACGTCCTTTACTGAGTTCATGTAACTATCTCGGACTCCTTGGCAGAGAATGGAAAAGCCCTGCTGCAGCGTCACAGACTGCACTGCTTCCTCCCACCCCGCCCCTCACGTTCTCTTTCAGTCTGCCTCCCACCCCAGAATCTCCCCAAAACTGCACTTTGGGGAGATTCTGCCCCCACCCCACCCCAATCTCAGGCCTCCAGCTCTCCTCCGTGGGGGAGGGAGGTGGAAAGAGCCCAGGAAAAGCCTGTCACTTACCTTGCAGGCTGTGGGAAGAAGCACCATCTGCAGCCCCCTCCCAGATGTGTCCTCTGGTTCTGCGTGGGTCAGAGGCAGCTCAGTGCGGAAGTGAAGCCCTGCTTCTCATTTCTTATCTGCATGCCACTCCCTGGGTTCAAGGGTCCCTGTACACTATTCATAGTTTTAAACATGGTTCAGGGTTCCAAGTACACAGACCTCAGCCTGCTTAGTCCCCTGGCAAACCCACCATTCAAAATCTTAATAACCTTTTATTAAGGATACAGAACAAGAAGGAAAACAATTAGCATTTACAAAATAAAGTATTAAATAAGGTTGTCATTTTAACACTAAGCCTTGATCCCTTAGCTTTGGAAAGTCTTTAAAAGGAACCCTCCCTTCCTTTCCCTTCCCTATGTGGCAGTCTCTTAGAGAGTAGGAAAAATTGTATTTACTGTCCTTTTGGGGGAAATGAGAAGTGAGTTGAGATGGGCTGCAGCTGTCAGTGTTGCTGCTGTTACAGTCTAAACCCATTTCTCAGAATACAAAACAAGACAAACACACACTCAATAAGTACCTATTCTGTTCATTCCTTCTGGGGAACCTGGCATTGGCCACTGCTGGAAGACAGGTGTGACGTTGCACTCCATATGCTTTATGGAAGTATGCTTATGAATATGATGTAACTGGAATATGCTTTATGCAAAAGGTCTCTTGTAATGTATCATAATGAAGGTTATAAAGTACTGAATATGATCCTCCGATTTGGATGCATGTATCATTCTTGTATCTGAAGCTAGAAATATGAACTATATCTCTGAGGTCCTATTGTAATCATGCAAAGTGTGGGCGATTAATGGCGGTTTAGAATCTTGATGGCTCCCATTGACTAGGGCAATTGGTTGTAAATGCTTTCTTTACCTGCAAGCCTTCCGGTGTATGTGTGGGCCAACCCAGGAAGAATGGAGACTAGGAGTCTTATAGTGACATGTGACCATGTCACCTGATAATGAAATCCATCTTAAATCTGGTACTTTTCCATTTAGTAGGAGGGATGGGGACCCAGAGAGACAAAAGATTCCCACTTGGTGCCAAAACTATAAAAGGGGCTGCAAGTCATGAGAAAACCCCACTTCCCACCTGAAATGTCTGCTGGAACTAACAAGGGGGGAAAGGATTGGGCTCAAACTAGGGAGGAGTCTAGTCTGTGAAAGAAGCTTATTGGAACATCTCTGAAGTTGAGGTATTACCTGTAATCAGTTTCTTAATGTATTAGGCTTAGACTTGCATGTTTTATTTTATTTTGCTTGGTGGTTTACTTTGTTCTGTCTGTTATGACTTGAAACCACTTAAATCCTACCTTTTATACTTAGTAAAATCACTTTTGTTTATTAATAAATTCAGAGTAAGTGATTAATACCTGGGGGAGCAAACAGCTATGCATCTCTTTCTATCAGAATTATAGAGGGCGGACAATTTATGAGTTTACCCTGTATACGAGTTATACAGAGTAAATCAGGTTTATTTGGGGTTTGGTTGGGTGTCCGGGTGCTAGAGATAGGTAACCTGCTGAGCTGTTTTCAGTTAAGTCTGCAGCTTTGGGGGCGGGGCCAGACCTGGGTCTGTGTTTCAGCAGGCTAGTGTGTCTGGCTCAAAAAGGTAGGGTTCTGGAAGTCCCAAGCTGGCAGGGAAAATGGGCTCAGATGTAATTTCACCACATCAGGTGACAGTCCCAAGGGGGTCTCTGTGACCAAACCTGTCAGTACAGGATACTGGGCTAGATGGACCTTTGGTCTGACCCAGTATGGCTGTTCTTATGTTCTGCAGTCTAAAAGAGGAAAGAAGAGAACAACAAAGATAGAAAAGGCAGCGTCTGTCTCTGGAGTTGACTGTCATTTGCACACTTACTGTTGGAGAAGCACAAGCCCAGCCCATGGTCCAGTCAGCCACCCTGAGACCTGCCAAACTTGTACCAGAATCAGGCTGTTTAGGGAAGTGCTTTTAGTTGTCTCTCTAGTCACAGACTTACACCAGAGTTGCAAAATAGAGTCTTGGCCAGCTAAGCCAGTCTCTCTTATTAGATTGACGGTAATAGGAGAGTTTACCCACACTGGCATAAAAGGGGTTAATAGAGCCCTAGGGAGGCTGTCTGGGAAGCCGTCAATAGGAGAGAGGCTGCAAGGAGCAGCCAATCATGGCCCAGGAGGCTCACATAAAAAGGGCTGCAGGGCTAGAGGTACTCTGTTGCTGCTGGGAATTCAGGGAGTGAAGACTGTGTCCCTGGAAGTCTGAGAGACCTGTAATCAAGAGACCTTGGACAGAGCAGCTGCTAGCAGGGACCAGAAGAGCACAGTTTAATAATCGCATAACACCCATGACAAACTGAGAGTAGTAAAAACTGATTAAAACCATTGAAACCACGGCTGAATTACAGGCCCTCATTATAGCCCCACATCTCCTCACCCACATTACCCTGCAATGCAAAGACGTCAGCAAACTAGACCAGGAGTCTCCAAACTTTTTGAATGCGCACCCACAGGGCCAGCTCTGGAGAAGCAAAACAAAAAAAAAAAAAAGGAAGAAGAGCTGCCGCCGGCGTGCCGCCGAAGATGGAGCAGGAAGAGCCGAGCGGACGCCTGCGTGCCGCTGAAGACGGAGCGGGGAGAGCCGAGCCGCCGAAGACGGAGCGGGGAGAGCCGAGCCGCCGAAGACGGAGCGGGGAGAGCCGAGCCGCCGAAGACGGAGCGGGGAGAGCCGAGCTGCCGCTGGCATGCAGCCAAAGATGGAGCGGGGAGACCTACTTTGGAACAATGTCTCTATTGCAAGAGTGTGCCTAGTGTGCTCTAGCAGTGAGACTCCCCCAATAACAGCTGAAATCACTAAGAGCTGTGTTAAGTGTGGGGCCTGAAGACATCTTAATGCGGGCAGCTGGCAGAGAGGTGCGGCCAGCAGGGTGGCTGGTGGAGAGGCATGGCAAGCAGACAGCAGGGCGGCTGGCAGAGAGGGTCAGAGCAGAGCCCTACAGAGAGGCACAGCAATCGGCTGTTGGGGCGATGAGTGAGTGACTGAGCAGTGGAGCGTGTAAGGTGCCTCCTTACCCCCACTCCCCTCCACACAGGGTGGGAGGTAAACTCTGCGGATGAACCTCTGAACTCTGGGGCTGCACTGGCCAAGGAAAACAACTGTGAGTGGGGTGCAAAGAAGGGATGGGGGGTGTTAAAGAGACTTTTGGGTTGCTGGACTTAAGAACCTGAGGGGAAAAGGACACTGCCCAACTTATAGAATCATAGAATCATAGAATATCAGGGTTGGAAGGGACCCCAGAAGGTCATCTAGTCCAACCCCCTGCTCAAAGCAGGACCAATTCCCAGTTAAATCATCCCAGCCAGGGCTTTGTCAAGCCTGACCTTAAAAACCTCTAAGGAAGGAGATTCTACCACCTCCCTAGGTAACGCATTCCAGTGTTTCACCACCCTCTTAGTGAAAAAGTTTTTCCTAATATCCAATCTAAACCTCCCCCCACTGCAACTTGAGACCATTACTCCTCGTTCTGTCATCTGCTACCATTGAGAACAGTCTAGAGCCATCCTCTTTGGAACCCCCTTTCAGGTAGTTGAAAGCAGCTATCAAATCCCCCTCATTCTTCTCTTCTGCAGGCTAAACAATCCCAGCTCCCTCAGCCTCTCCTCATAAGTCATGTGTTCCAGACCCCTAATCATTTTTGTTGCCCTTCGCTGGACTCTCTCCAATTTATCCACATCCTTCTTGAAGTGTGGGGCCCAAAACTGGACACAGTACTCCAGATGAGGCCTCACCAATGTCGAATAGAGGGGAACGATCACGTCCCTCGATCTGCTCGCTATGCCCCTATTTATACATCCCAAAATGCCATTGGCCTTCTTGGCAACAAGGGCACACTGCTGACTCATATCCAGCTTCTCGTCCACTGTCACCCCTAGGTCCTTTTCCGCAGAATTGCTGCCTAGCCATTCGGTCCCTAGTCTGTAGCTGTGCATTGGGTTCTTCCGTCCTAAGTGCAGGACCCTGCACTTATCCTTATTGAACCTCATCAGATTTCTTTTGGCCCAATCCTCCAATTTGTCTAGGTCTTTCTGTATCCTATCCCTCCCCTCCAGCGTATCTACCACTCCTCCCAGTTTAGTATCATCCGCAAATTTGCTGAGAGTGCAATCCACACCATCCTCCAGATCATTTATGAAGATATTGAACAAAACCGGCCCCAGGACCGACCCTTGGGGTACTCCACTTGATACCGGCTGCCAACTAGATATGGAGCCATTGATCACTACCCGTTGAGCCCGACAATCTAGCCAGCTTTCTACCCACCTTGTAGTGCATTCATCCAGCCCATACTTCCTTAACTTGCTGACAAGAATACTGTGGGAGACCGTGTCAAAAGCTTTGCTAAAGTCAAGAAACAATACATCCACTGCTTTCCCTTCATCCACAGAACCAGTAATCTCATCATAAAAGGCGATTAGATTAGTCAGGCATGACCTTCCCTTGGTGAATCCATGCTGGCTGTTCCTGATCAATTTCCTCTCATGCAAGTGCTTCAGGATTGATTCTTTGAGGGGTAGGTCTTTTGCTCATGTTTTATGTTTATGAACCCTAGTTGTGGTGTTTTCCCAAATTAATGCTGAGGGAACTTACTTGAGGGGTGGGTCTTTTGCTCATGTTTTATGTTTATGAACCCTAGTTGTGGTGTTTTCCCAAATTAATGCTGAGTTACTTCCCTCCTTTTATTAAAAGTTTTTGCTACACTCAGACTCTGTGCTTGTGAGAGGGAAAGTATTGCCTCCTAAGGGGTGGGCAAACTTTTTGGACTGTGGGCCGCATCTGGGTATGGAAATTGTATGGTGGGCCATGAATGCTCACAAAATTAACAATTCAGAGATATTCAAATAAACTCTATTTAATAAAGATATGTTTGAGTGGAAATAAACATAAAACCTTACTTACTATTATAAGTATACCATCATAACAATGTATTACAATAATTAAACCAAACTTAACCCCTTCCCACACCCTCTTTGATTAATGTGAACAATGCAGCTGGTCACCCTTCTTTACAATGGCATCAAAGTCCAGTGTCATTCTTGTTGTGGAAATCTGCAATACTGAGCTGAGATGCTGGTCAGTTATCTGTAGCAAGATTTGTTGTAATTCAGCACCTGGCATTGGCCGCTGTTGGAAGACAGGATACTGGGCTAGATGGACCTTTGGTCTGACTAAGTATGGCCGTTCTTATGTTCTTATCATAGAAGATTAGTGTTGGAAGAGACCTCAGGAGGTCATCAAGTCCAATCCCCTGCTCAAAGCAGGACCAACACCAACTAAATCATCCCAGCCAGGGCTTTGTCAAGCCAGGCCTTAAAAACCTCTAAGGATAGAGATTCCACCACCTCCCTAGGTAACCCATTCCAGTGCTTCCCCGCCTCTTAGTGAAACAGTGTTTCCTAATATCCAACCTAGACCTCCGCACTGCAACTTGAGACCACTGCTTCTTGTTCTGTCGTCTGCCACCACTGAGAACAGCCGAGCTCCGTCCTCTTTGGAACCCCCCTTCAGGTAGTTGAAGGCTGCTATCAAATCCCACCTCACTCTTCTCTTCTGTAGACTAAATAACCCCAGTTCCCTCAGCCTCTCCTCATAAGTCATGTGCCCCAACCACCTAATCATTTTCGTTGCCCTCCGGTGGACTCTCTCCAATTTGTCCACAAACGTTCTGTAGTGAGGGGACCAAAACTGGACACAATACTCCAGGTGTGGCCTCACCAGTGTGAATAGAGGGGAATAATCACTTTCCTCGATCTGCTCGCAATGCTCCTACTAATGCAGCCTAATATGCCATTAGCCTTCTTGGCAATGAGGGCACACTGCTGACTGATATCCAGCTTCTCATCCACTCTAATCTCCAGGTCCTTTTCTGCAGAACTGCTGCTTAGCCGGGCTCTTTATCAGGGTCATCTTCTTTTACTTTGTTCTGAATTCTTTTTTAAGGTCCTACATTTTTCCCAGTTAAATTTGGTGATCCATCTGTAGTTACGTTTGCCAGTTTACTCCAGAGGAGCTTCAGATGTTCAAGGCAGCCAGACACCCTCTCGTATAAATCCGATCCCTTAGTTGTGCCTTTCATTGATTCCATTGATAAAAATTCCTCTGTGATTTCAAATGTGTCGTCAATTCCTCTGAAAAATATCAGTAACTGTGCTGTGTCCTTAATGGCAGAGCGGTCATCGAGAGCTAATGAAAACAACATAAAGCCCTGTGCTTTCTTGCTCAACTCAGAAGCCAAATGTTCATCAGTCACTTCTACATGGCGAGAAACAGTTCTTCATGACAAACTAATGTTCTCAAATTTGTTTTAGTATTCTGGGCACAGCATGCCAGCAGCATCAACCATGCATTCTTTCCAAAACTCCCCTTCAGCAAAAGGCTTATTTTGGTTAGCGATTTTAAACGCCAGAACATAACTTGCCTTTGTAGTGTCTTCCTGAACTGCAGCTTGTCACCCATAAATATTTTGCTGAATTTTTAAGTTCATGGCAAGTTTCTCAATTTTTCTTGCCCTTTCCCCGTTTGTTGAATTGCTGCCATAATTAGGATGTTTTGTTGAAAAATGGCAATTCAGATTGTACTTCTTGAACACCACAATGCTCTCCTGACAAATCAGGCATACAGCCTTCAAGTTCATGTTTGTGAAAAAATATTTTGCATTCCATTCTTTGTTGAAAACCCAACATCGCTGTCCACTTTTATTTTTTTACTTTTTGCAGCACTCGTTTTTGAAAGGGAAAAGAAAATCCTAACTGCTGCCCCTATTTCAAACTGCTGTTTTACAAGACGGCATGCACTGTGAAAAAACTGAGCCCTCTCTCGAGCCTGAATTTGTCGGGCGTCAGTGCCCCTGACAATTTTGAGCCATGGCACTCTATCCTAGAACCCATGTGGACAAGAAGAAGCAGAGGCAGGGGTAAACACACCTGTAACTTTATGCCCCAGCCTCCCACAAAAAATGTTCTTACTGTTGTACTTTTGAGTTCTATTTGCACTGTTGTATTCATTGAAAGTTTGTAAGAGATGTTAGGAACGTTACTGAGGTATGGCGAGAGGACTCATGAGGTGTGGCACATGGGGGGCTCTACGGGGCAGTACCAGGGACTCCTAGGGGCCCTGCGGGCAGTGTGACACCAAGGCAGCAATGCCACATGCGGAGGCACCCAAGCTAGGATGGGTGCAGCTGCGGCCCCTGTGCGATTTCCCTCCACTCGAGGCTCTCAAGGGTGGGGCCATAGGAGACCGAGAGGGGATCTGGCGCAATGCTGCGTAGGGATGGTGAAGTTGCACCCGCGCAATGTGGCTCTTCTGTGTGCCAGAACAATCTTCACGGAAGATGATGCTCAAAGTCAAACTGCTCATCGCTGAGTCGGGCTGGGAGCACTGGGCGGAGCACAGCAAGCCCCCAACCCCGTTCCCCAGCAGGAGCAGCGGGCGGAGTGCAGCAAGCCCCTGACCCCACTCCCTGGCAGGAGCTCGAAGGCCAGGTGAAAACATGTCACGGGCTGGAAGCGGCCTGCAGGCTGTAGTTTGCCCACCCCTGATCTAGACCATCCCTGACAGATGTTTGTCTAACCTGCTCTTAAAAACCTCCAGTGATGGAGATTCCATAACCTCTGTAGGTAACTTGTTCCAGTGCTTAACTATCCTTACAGTTAGGCAGCTTTTCCTAATATCTAATCTAAACCTCCCTTGTTGCAATTTAAGCCCATTATTTCTTGTCCTGGCCTCAGTGGATAAGGAGAACAATTTATCACCCTCCTCTTTATAACATACTTGACGAATGTTATATCTCGCACTCAGTCTTCTCTTCTCCAGACTAAACAAATCCAGTTTTTTCAATCTTTCCTCATAGATCATGTTTTCTAGCCCTTTAATAATTTTTGTTGCTCACCTGTGGACTTTCCCCAATTTGTCCACATTTTTCCAGAGCTGGACATAATACTACAGTTGAGGCCTTATCAGTGATGAGTACAGTGGAATAATTACTTCTTGTGTCTTTCTTACCGCACTCCTGCTCATACATCCCAGAATGACCTTCACTTTTCTGAGGTATTATTGATTCCTATTTAGTTTGTTATCCATTATAACTCCCAGATCCTTTTCTACAGTACTCCTGCCTCAGGAGTCATTTCCCATTTTGTATTTGTGCAACTGATTACTCTTTCCTAAGGGTAGTACTTTGCATTTGTCCTTATTGAATTTCATCCTATTTATTTCAGACCATTTCTCCAGTTTGACAAGATCATTTTGAACTCTGTTCCTGTCCTCCAAAGCACTTGCAACCCCTCCCAGCTTAGTATTGTCCACAGACTTTATAAGTCTACTCTCTATGCCATTATCCAAATCATTTATGAAGATCGTGAATAGAAAGATATCCAAGACAGATCCCTGCAGGACCCCACTCATTATGCCCTTCCAGCTTGACAGTGAACCAGTGATAAGTACTCTCTGAGTATGGTTTTCCAACCAGTTGTGCACCTACCCTACAGCAGGCTGTATTTCCCTACTTTGTTTATGAAAAGGTCATGTGAGACAGTCTCAAAAGCCTTACTAAAGTCGAGATATATCACATCTGCAGCTTCCCCTCCCAATCCATAAGGCTTGTTACTGTGACAAAGAAGGATAGTAGATGGATTTGACATGATTTCTTCTTAACAAATCCAAGTTGACCGTTACTTATCGCCTTATTATCCTCTAACACAATCTAACATGTAATCTACCACTGAAATCCAAGAAAAATGGATGCTCAAATCAGAACTTGCCTTGACTCTGGAGGAAGGGCAAGAGGCCTGGGAGACTTTTAAAATGCTGGATTTGTAGCCGAGAAGTGAGGTCCTTCCGCAGCTGAATAGGGTTGTTAGTAGAAAGAGGGGACCATAATTTTCATACTAAGAACATAAATGCTTTAGAAATGCCAGCAGCAAAGGAAAGGTTGTAGATACCCTAGGTACAGAGGCTTAAACAATTACAGTTCAAAGGGAACGATAGCAGTAAACGTTTGGGCCCCTGGGGCAGTCCAATCAAGAGTCAGGGCTCATCCCGCCTTGTGCTGGGGTGCCCTGTCCAGTCCAGTCTCTATTCCAAGCAAATAGGAACTTGTAGGTTTCCAGGCCAGGCTCAGTTAGTGTCTGTCATTGGGGCCCCTCTGTGCTGGGTTCCTGCCCAGCCGCTGCTGCTCCCCCATAAGTCCCACACAGACCTGCACCCGCTGTCATGTCGGACAGTCACAGCCGGTTCCACACACGGCTGTGTTCCGCACATATGGTTCCTGGGAACTCCACTCTGAATTCAGCTTCTCTCCAACTTCCTGCTTGCCATGCAGCTGCTGTTTCATTTTCCCTGCAGCCACTTACTTACCTGGCCAGGAGGAAGGGGATGTGCAGAGGGGACTGATGGGAGTTGTAGTCCCCAGCTCAGCAGATCCATCATAGGAGATTGGCCCGAGTTTCATTGCAATGTGGCCCAATATGTCTTATGCAGTGTGCTTTACTCTCCAGCTGCTGTCACCCCTCGCACTGAATCACAGGCAGTAGACGCTGCACCAGGCAGTGCATCAGTAGCGTCCAGTGCTGCTTTCACAGCAGGGAACAGCAGAGCTCTGGTCTTCAAAAATGAATGTCCAGCCCTTCTCTCTGCAGGCTCTTCAGCTGCTTTTCCACCTCTGGAGAGAAGTCGGTCAAGCCTAGCCTAGAAGACAAACAGAAAATACCCAGGGTTACCCTCCGGTAAGTCTCATCACAAATGAACAGGACTCTGTTATTGCTCTCTCTGTTAGGTATTTATATGGCTCTATTCTCAATCTTAGCATATTTATCCATGCAGCACCCCTAGGAGGGGGTGTAATCTACAACACACGAGCCCGCTGTGCGCTCACTAGCCATGTGAACCTTGCTATCGCACGCTGAAAGTTCCCTGGTGCTCTTTGACCTACACCCATTTCAGAGCTGGTCAATGTGCACTAGGGAACTCTTAGCATGCAGTAGTAGGGTCCACACGGTCACCTAATGTGTGGCACACTGGGGCGCTGTAGGTATATACCCCAGCATGCCGCGTATTCACTGTTCTTCTTGACAAGTCCTAAGGGTGAAATTTGCAAAAGCATCCAAGTAACTTAGAATCCCAAATCCCATTTTCAAACATGGCTCAGGTGCCTAAGTCTCCATGCAAGTCAATGAAACCTAAGTATCATTGAAAGTTAGTTTTGGAAATGGGACTTAAGGGCTTTTGAAGAGTTTATCCTAAGTGACTTGCCCACAGAAACTCTGTGCCAGAGCAAGGAAATGAATGCTGGTCTCTCAAGCCCCAAGCCAGCATCCTAACCACTGCATAATCTTTCCACTTGTTACCCAGCAACCCTGGACTGCAGCGCTACCATGTTGTTATAGGAATATCACTGGTTACCAGGACCACAGAGACATGGAATATCTTTCTTCCATGATTAGTCTCTATACACAGAATCATAGAATCATAGAATATCAGGGTTGGAAGGGACCCCTGAAGGTCATCTAGTCCAACCCCCTGCTCGAAGCAGGACCAATTCCCAACTAAATCATCCCAGCCAGGGCTTTGTCAAGCCTGACCTTAAAAACCTCTAAGGAAGGAGATTCTACCACCTCCCTAGGTAACGCATTCCAGTGTTTCACCACCCTCTTAGTGAAAAAGTTTTTCCTAATATCCAATCTAAACCTCCCCCACTGCAACTTGAGACCATTACTCCTCGTTCTGTCATCTGCTACCATTGAGAACAGTCTAGAGCCATCCTCTTTGGAACCCCCTTTCAGGTAGTTGAAAGCAGCTATCAAATCCCCCCTCATTCTTCTCTTCTGCAGGCTAAACAATCCCAGCTCCCTCAGCCTCTCCTCATAAGTCATGTGTTCTAGACCCCTAGAACATTTTTGTTGCCCTTCACTGGACTCTCTCCAATTTATCCACATCCTTCTTGAAGTGTGGGGCCCAAAACTGGACACAGTACTCCAGATGAGGCCTCACCAATGTCGAATAGAGGGGAACGATCACGTCCCTCGATCTGCTCGCTATGCCCCTACTTTTACATCCCAAAATGCCATTGGCCTTCTTGGCAACAAGGGCACACTGCTGACTCATATCCAGCTTCTCGTCCACCCCTAGGTCCTTTTCCGCAGAACTGCTGCCTAGCCATTCGGTCCCTAGTCTGTAGCTGTGCATTGGGTTCTTCCGTCCTAAGTGCAGGACCCTGCACTTATCCTTATTGAACCTCATCAGATTTCTTTTGGCCCAATCCTCCAATTTGTCTAGGTCCTTCTGTATCCTATCCCTCCCCTCCAGCGTATCTACCACTCCTCCCAGTTTAGTATCATCTGCAAATTTGCTGAGAGTGCAATCCACACCATCCTCCAGATCATTTATGAAGATATTGAACAAAACCAGCCCCAGGACCGACCCTTGGGGCACTCCACTTGATACCGGAACACTATGATCTCTGATTTCCAAGCTGTAGCAGTTCTTTTCTGAGTCCCTGTAGTGAGGCGTTCTGGTTCCCCGCCGCCCCAGAGCGGGACGAGCCTCTCTGGATGCCAAAGTGCGTGGAGCCAGTGAGCCCTGCGCCCGCCCCTCAGAGGTCAAGGCGCAGGACCGGAAGTATAAAAGCCCAGCCCCAGAGCTCAGTTGAAACACAGCCACCGGAGAGACCAGATGCATATAGTGGAGCTCCCAGCTGGGAGACCACAGCGATCGGCGGGCGACCCGAGGACTGGCCAGACCAGCCAATGCCTGATGCTAGCCCAAGCCCAGAGACACTGCCAAGCTTGCCTTTCGCCAGTTACCCCAAGGAGCCGCCAAACCAACCGTGCACCAGTTACCCTGAGGAGCCCATGGTGTGCGACCCCTAAGAGGACGCCGGCCGGACCCAGGTACCTCTGGAGGGGGAGGTAGGAAGTAGCCCGGGGGCAGCCAACCCCAGTCAGGCTGCAATGCTGCCAGAGCCCATGTCAGTGTGTTGCGGCCAGGAATCCCACTGACACAGCAGCGGATCTTCTGCCACTGCTAGGGCCCCCGGCTGGGACGCAGTGGAGTGGGTGGGCCTGCGTCCCCCCTGCCACCCATCTCACGGGTGACAGTCTCCCCCTCTCCCAGGCCACTCGGAGCCAGGAGCCTGGGCTTTGCTATTGAACTCTTTGCTCAGCCCCTGCCTGAGGGCCCTGAGCTACTGACTATTGCCCCGCCCTGATCCACAGCCTGGGCCTTGCTATTGAACTCTTTGCTCAGGCAGGCTAATTCCCTGACACACCTGACAGAAGTAGCGAGGCGGTCTGGTTCCCCGCCGCCCCGGAGAGCGACGACCCCGGCCGGACCGCCCTACAGTCCCATATTGTTCCTGCTCTAAGAGATCAGCTGTTTTCACTGCAAGAATCGTGTTTTATTGTTATTTGTTAAGCACTGACAGCATGCTTGGCATTATAGAAAACACAAACAGAGACCCAGTGTGCCAGTCTATACCATTATGTTCACCACTTTTACAACACTATGATACATTTTGTACAAAGAATACCTTGTGAGATATCCTTTCAAAACACATAATCTGCGGAATATTATTATCCTGGTAAAATATGTGTTTCAACATTGTATGTAAAGTTATAAAATTCTACTGCATAGCATTTCTGTAACATCCTCCAGAATTAGAAAAGCAGGCCCAAACAAGTTTTTTAGAGACAAAAGACATACTGATGCCCCGGCCAGGTATCAGCATAATCAGATGACCTACTATGGGCTATCGCCTAGTCTTCTTAGTATATGCGCAACGTGTCTCAGGTGGCATGTGACCAGGATTCATCACCAAATTTAGTCCGCTGGTTGGATCATTAGCTTCCCCGGCCCGGGCCAGGTATTGATGGGAAATGTGACGTGAATGCTGATCCATGCCCCCCATCACCTAGTTAAGCAGCTATTCTTTGCCAGGAAGAAGGATGTGAGCAAGAACTTTATATATTGACAATGAAACAGCTGGAGGTCCTGTCTAAAGAGACTGGCTGTCACCTGGACCCCAGTTGGAGATAATCCTCAAAGAAGGGAATGGTATAAGAATACAGGACACACACAACACAATTCACAATTCTCTTCTCCTATAGCTACTCATGGCAGCTATAGTGGTTCAAAGACAAAAGAAGCATCATTGAACTGGGAGAGGGGTCCTGGCAGGGAGGCTTTTCAGCCAGTACAGACTGCTATAAGCTTTTGGTGAGAAAAAGAACCTTTTTACTTTTTTACGTTCACTTAACTAGTTAAGTTAGGTATTAGCTCACAGTTTAATCTTTTTATTTTCTTTGCAACCAATTCTGACTTTTATGCCTCATTTCTTGTAATCACTTAAAATCTGTCTTTTTGTAGTGAATAAGCTGTTTTGTGGCTTTATCTAAACCAGTGGATGTTTGGATTGAAGTGTTCGGGAATCTTCACTTGAGATAACAGGGCCTATGCATATCATTTTCCTTTGATGCAATGACGGACTTTCTATGAGCTTGCATTGTCCAGAAGAGTGCTGGGCAGTACAAGATGCACATTTCTGGGGGACAAGGCTAGGACTGGGAATTTACTGGTGTCGCTCTGCAATACAATTCATCAGTGGCTGGCAGAGCATTAATGAAACATAAGCTGGGAGTGATTTTGCATGCTAGAGGCAACCCTGTGCGCTGGGGACCAGGATGCAGAGTGGGGAGCCAAGGTGACTTTGGCTGCATTCTGAATAGACCGGGGAAGAGCAGGACTGGGAAGGCACCACAGTGGTGGGTGTGGTATAAAATCTGAGACAAAGTATCTGGAAAGCAGGGAGGGCAGAAAGCTGGAGGGTGGAATAGTCAGGAGGACGTCAGCTCAAGTCCCTGTGATCAATCTTTGTAGAGACAGAAAAGGTCTCTTGAATGCAATGTCCACACAGCCCTGTAAAGCTGCCAAACTCCCCCCCCCCCCCCCCCAAGGCCTTCACAGCTGTTTGGCCACTGAGTCACTGGTCTCCGGCACTGGACCACCAAGACAGCCTAAAAACTCTCTAAAGCCTGACCAACAGACTCCCATCACCCTTTATCCACAGAGCTCCCTGCATTGTTCATTACATGGTTCTGCCCACGGATGTGCAAGGCCAACTCAGCCGGGCGAGGCCCGCTCTGAATAGCTCCTCCATTCGGAGGAACAAAACACAAATGGCAATCGTTGTTTCTTTAAATCATTATTTGGGGGGCAGAGGACTTTCGGGCAGTGACAAGTGCTGAACGGACATCACTGGAGTCTGATTCCTTGGCAGATTCCCAGAATAAGCACAGGACAGGAAACCCTCGTGCCCCTGCCATGCGCACTGGCACTAGCCGGTGCCTCACTCCTTACCCGGCTCCACAGCCCACGTCTTCCTTGGTGTCTCTGAGATTGCCAGCAGACCAGGGTAAGTGATGCCAGTTTGGGGACTGACTGTTGTGATGTGATACTTGTCCACTAGGGAGTGGTTAAAAGCACCATAGTTTGTGACATGGGTCACCAACCAGCCATGGGATACAGTGACCTTTGGTCCCCACCAACCAGGATTGGATCCATTCCCAGTCCCCTGAGGCATCTCTCCCCCATCAACCTCTTCACAACCAAGAATAAAGAAATTACACAACAGGTTTGCACAGGCAAAGGGGGCGTGCATAACGAGAGGAGAAAAGAAAACAAATTTGCCATGTCTGCCCTGCAGGACAAGCCAGGTTCGTAGCCTTACCTGATCTCGGTGAGGCTGGGGCACGTCAGGATAAGGAGATGCATGTCTTCAGCGCACCGATCAGTGAAATTATTTGCACTCAGGTTCAGATGCCGGAGGGTGGAGTTTTGGGAGAGAGCAGAGCAGAGTGCCCAGCAGGATTCATCTGACAAACCAGTTTCCTGGAGGCTGCAGCAGAGCATCGGACACATACCTTAGAGCAGTGGTTCTCAAACTTTTGTACTGGTGACCCCTTTCACCCAGCACTGCTTGCGACCCCCCCTTATAAATTAAAAACACTTTTTAATATCCTTAACACCATTATAAATGCTGCAGGCAAAGCGGGGTTTGGGGTGGAAGCTGACAGTTTGCAACCCCCCCATGTAATAACCTTGTGACTCCCTGAGGGGTCCCGACCCCCAGTTTGGGAACCCCTGCCTTAGAGAAAGGCTGAAACAGAGAATTGACAGGGCTTCCTGCATTGTCTGGCTGCCGATGTCTATGTCCATCTCCCGACCATCCTCACTTTACTCCTCCATGTCACTTTGCCTCCCTCTGCCTCACTCCCTCTTTCTGCTAATCTTACCACGTATGGCAGAATCACACAGGTTTAACAAATCTAAAGCTGACACAGGGGCTGCATCCATATTAGCAGGGACTCTTCACCATGCTAATTCCTAATCGGCAATCCACTAGATGCATAGATTCTCAGACCAGAAGGGACCATTAGGATCATCTGGTTTGACCTCCTGCACAACATAGCCCATAGAACTTCCCAGAAATAATTCCTCCTAGTGCTATAGCTGACCAGTGATCTGAGTACCTAGAAACCCCTCCATTTCCACTCCCTGCTGTGCTCACACCAGCCCAAGATCAGAACAGCCCCAACCACTCTTTTCTGGAAAGCATTTTGCTTCTGGAGCCCAGGCATGATCAGGATCTTGAGATCCTTTGGGCTGGGATTTCAGAGCGGTGAAAATTTAATTGATCTCTCTCCTGTGGCAGCAACTGGCTGATCAAGGCAGGGCTGGCCATTCCTGCCAAGGACATGGAGCAGGAGTAGGGTGACCAGATAGCAAGTGTGAAAAATTGGGACAGGAGTGGGGGGTAATAGGCGCCTACATAAGAAAAAGCCCTGAGTATCGGGAGTGTCCCTATAAAATTGGGACATCTGGTCACCTTAAGCGGAGGAATGTTTCACCTCCCCTTCCCCTGGGCGGTTTGCCCCACGGGAGATGGGACCAGCATGTGTTGTGAACCTGACAAGATTCTTTGTACCTTGTGAAACTTTGCTTCTGTGTCTCCTTCTCTGACAGGATCTGAAATGATGCTTATGCCAGGAAATGGGTGAAGGGCTTTGACAGACGAAGCATCACTGTCAGACTTATACTTACCCTAATTTCTGAATCTTGCATTCTGGGGACTCAAACACCCTTGATAGGTAAGAAAGGCCCCCTGTCCGCAGTTTATTCTTCTTGAGGTCAAGACTCAGGAGGGTCCAGTTTCCCGCGAGGGCAGATGCCAGTTCTTCACAGCACTGTTCAGTGAACGCATTCTTCCCTAGGCTAGAGAGCAGGCAGGGAGAGAAGGAGCCAAATGAATGAGAGAGAAAAACAGGAAAAGATAAAGAGGAGAAAGAGAGAAACTGTCAAAGCCAGGAGGAGGATTAATGAGAAGAAACAGGAGAACAGAACAAAGAGACAAGAAGCTGACAAATGAGAACAGAGGTAGGAAGGAAATAAGTGAGAGACACAATGAGAGAGAGGCCCAAAGAACAATCAGCCAGCCAGGAGGGAGGAGACCCATCAGAACCAAAGGCACACAGATGGGGATGGGATACAGAGGCCACATGCACAGAGAGGGCAGGAGCCCCAGGGAAGAATGAGGAAGAAGTAGCAGACGGTTACATTAGCTTTTTGCTTAACACGTACTCTGCACTGCAGCACTACAGACTGCTACTGGGAGCTGCAGAGTTTGCATGCTGGGATGTGATTCTGTCTTTGGGACTCTAGCAGAGTGACGTGCTGAAATGCAATCATGCGCAGCCCCAGGAGAGTGTAACATTGCACTTTAACACACACACAGAGTCAACTCCACAGCCAGGGAGGAAGAGTGGGGGACAGGCCTGGTGAACTAGGGTCTGAGCTGCACGTGGCCAAGTAGGAGACCCAGGTTTAGTTCTCAAACTCACCCTGTCACTTCCTGGCCCTGCAGGGTCTGCGAGCCCTGTGGGAGCAGTACACCTGGCCCCAGGAGGTGGCGAGGGATAAAGCACAAATCACACTATCGAACTGAGGAGCCAGCCTGGCAGGGAGGAGACCCAGACAGGCCTTTGAGCCAGAAGGATCTCAAGGGGGATGGGTTACAGCTGGCAGAGTGAGCAGCCAAACGATAATTAGTGACCACAAGCACTGAGGAGGAGCTGGATTTCACAGCTCCCTAGCATGGCCGCTGCTGGGACACTGGTTCCGTGCTAACTCCAAAGGAAAAGAGCCGTGTTCCAAATCACCACCACAACCTCTTGCGCATCCTGGATTTCCCCTGGCCATCCCCCACCCCCCATCCAAGTACTGAACAAAACAAAAAGAACAGACGATGGCCCAGGAAAAAATGGCAGAGCCCCAAGCTTATCATTATGCCTTATCTCCCATCCCCATGTACACAGGCTGCAGGCCCCATGACGCTTCAGAACATGAAATACATTTGAAAGTGAGTGAATTACTCATAAGACACCGACCACTCAGTTACCTCAGAGCCTCTAGCCTACAGTTCTGGTGCTTTAGGGCCTTGCAAATATCCTTCATTGTAGGATCCTTCAGATCATTATCCAGGAGACTGGGGGGAAATGAAAGAACAAAGCATTTCAGGCTGGATAAGGAGACAAATCTGCAAAGACTGCGGGTTTGGAAAGCTGGATGGGCTATGCAAATTATGCAATGGAAGATTTGCATGCTTGTTCCATATGCATTACCTCATTTACATCAATTCCAGACCCATCAAATCCTTCTATTGCTCGCTCCTCCTCCCTCTCCAATCCATAAATCCTCCCTGCGCCTCAGAATCCTCTCTTTGAGCTTCCTCCCTGTCTCATGGCTCTCTCTGGCACCCCAATGGCATTTCCCATAGTCCTCCTGGCTGGCTCCCCACTCTCCTCTCACTGGCTGCCCTGCCCCCGCTCACACTACGCTGCGCTCCAAGGAGAAAGATCCAGCTAGCTCAGATAACAGCAGCAGCAAAGTCATGGCAGCATGGACTGTGCACGCATAGCCCACGCTGCTGCAGCTTCACCGCTGCTGTCACTCAAGCTAGATCGAAGCTACTCAGGCACGTTGACGCGGGCTGCAGTCACACCTCTGAACACAGTGTAGACAGACCCTCGGTGTGCTCCGAAACCTGCTCTGACTCCCACCGTGCCTAGCAGCTGCTCAAGTCCCCCATCCACACTCAGTGTCCCCCACCCAGAGCTACCTCTGCCTAAAGCAGGGCCCCCAACACGCTCACAGCAACAGCCAGAGCGACACCCTACAACACCCAGCACAGTGTCACTCTAGCCACAGCTCTATGGCTGCAGGCAAGTTGGGAGCTGTGCTGTATGTGGGGTCTCTGGTTAGAGTCCTCCCACGGTGGGATCTAACCATAGAGACACAGCCTAGAGTGCCTCCCCACCACTCTGTGACGTGCCTAATTGGGAGAATGAAGCGGTGGCTCAGGACCAAGGCTCCTGGGAGCCTCCAGGCCAGTTGGTGCAGGGCTGCATTCAGTGCTGCGCCCCTGGGCTGAGCTCTCTGTTCATTCCCGGGGGGCAGCATGATTCAGGCAGGCACTCACGACTCCTGCGTTCTGCCGGGACTTGCTTTGCTTTGGGGGGGCTTTGCTTAAGCCTTCTAAAGACCATCCCCAGCTCAGAGATCCTGAGACAGCTAGGAGAGAATGAAACCAGGTCCAGCCGAACGGCTTTGTGCATTTCACCAGCTCCTGCCACCTGAGGATCTTAAAATGCCCTATGGACACTGATTAGTGAAACCACCCAGCCACCAACCCTCCCACCATGTGCTACCACAGTGTTGCTATTTTGAAACGGGGAAACGGAGGCTCAGAGAGGCGAAACAACTTGCCGAGGATCACACAGTGAGTCGGCGGCAGAGCCAGGCAGAAACTTGCGCTTTAACCACAAACCCATCCTTCCTTTCAAGAGCACAGCAGAGGGGGAGCTGCATCTTAACCTTCACTTGCACCGCAGCTAGCATGAGGGGACTTTTCATCCTGCAGGCTCCCAAAGTGCAAGGCCTGATCCTGCCCTTCCTGCCCACACAAAATTCCTGTGAATTCAGTGGGAGTGCTGGGTGCACAAGACAAGCAGAATTGGGTTCCATGGACACAGACTAGCACTGACATGCAACCTGCTCTGCAGTGACAGGCAGGAGCTAAAGCATACTACACCTCGGTGAGGAAGAGGCATTTGTCTGTCTCAGAACACTGGGGCAAACCCCTGTGTGACATTCTGTACCTTGGGGGAGCGCCCTGTAACCCCCATAGTCCTCATTTATATAGAATTGGGATCTTGCATATAAAGCACACCTTGTAAGGTATCAGGAGAAAGGTTATAATCTGCTGAAAGTCACTGTTTCATCTAAATATATGTATGTCATTAATCGATATGAAGTTATGAGATTGTGTTGTATGGTTGTCAGTAAAACATGCTGTAAATTGCGGAATCGGCCAGATATTAGCTCCCCAGAGACAACAGCAAGGAAAATTACCAGTGCCCAGGTGGGGTGTCAAACAACCATCAACAGCCATTGTCTACCAAGGGAGCTACAATGCAATGACTTACCTGCATAAGGCCACACCAGGGGAATTGCTCAACCTTGCCTGGGGACTCAGCAATCCCCATCAGACATGTCTGGACTTGTGTGTTCTCCAAGCATATGGACTAAGGGTATAAAAAAGAACACAGGGGCCACATGCTGGGCCTTTCTCCTGCCCCCACCTATGCTACAAGCAACAAGGACACTCAGAAGACTGAAGACTCCAACAGAAGAGACTGGCCCAGATTTAAGGGACAAACCTGTATACTAAGGACTGCAATACCCAATGAGGTGAGAAAAACTGCTTAATCTAGATGTTGCCCAGTCTAATAGGATTGTAAAGGCTGGTGTATATCCACATTCCATTGATGAAGTGGTGAACCAATTAATAAGTTTGCACTGTTCATCTTCAGCAGTGAAAGACGGTATATTCCTGAGGTACAAGGCTGGGAGCTGGGGGGATTTGGCCGGTGCCTTTCTCTGTGTGATCCATGAGTGGGTCTGGGAACATTCATGCAATCTAGTTGGGTGTGGGGCTCCACATGGGGTTGTGCTGAGTGATCACAGCACCAGGAGGGGTTTGCTGCTTGTCGCTAGCAAAGCATTGTAAGAAACAGCCCAGGCTGGAGAGTTAAGGGAGCACAGCAGTCCCACAGTCCCAGGCTGCACCCCATGCATCCCATCACACCCTGTTCTTAACCAGAGTGCCTAGGGGCCTTTACTGTCCCCTCAGAGCCTTGGTTGTTAAAGTTTGATTCATAAGAACGGCCATACTGGGTAAGACTAAAGGTCCATCTAGCCCAGTATCCTGTCTTCTGACAGTGGCCAATGCCACATGCTTCAGAGAGAATGAACAGAACAGGCAATCATCAAGTGATCCATCTCCTATCGCCCATTCCCAGCTTCTGGCAAACGGAGGCTAGGGACACTCAGAGCATGGTTTTGCATCCCTGCCCATCCTGGCTTATAGCTATTGATGGACCTTGATTCCAAGCACACATACAGTAACACCCTGGAACTAAGTATATCTTTTTGCTAAGCGGATCCCCCTGGGATTTGAATCTATGGTGGCAAGAGGCCAAAGTAATTCAGACCTTATTGTTCACTTTGTTGCCCCAATACCTCAGCTGTAAAAGCTGAGCTCCCCCCGAGACCAGCACTAACAAGAGCTGAAGACCACTGTCCTACAGAACCTCCCTGTGCTTTCCCAGTTTTAAATGTTACAGTCTGGTAACATCTTGGGGAGGACGTTTTAATTCCATTTCCTTTAGAATTTTTACAAAAAGCTGCAGCTGTAACCAAAAAACCCAACGATCACAGAGATCGCAGCAGGAAGGACACCAGGGCTTCCTGCTACTTTGCAGCTACAGGAGGTAGTTTGTTTTGTGCACAGCAAGAGCCTCAGGGAGAAGAGCTGGAGGAGACATGAATGCTTCTTCCATTGAGCTGGACTCCAAACTGATTCACATTTGGCTCTGCTTGGTGGTGGAGCAATTTTATCCCAGGGATGATGTTCTGGGGAGAGTCAGGAATTCACAAGAGTGGGGAGGAATTCCTGCCACACCACTGCTCCGGAGGGTGAGTATGAGAGAAACACCTACCCTGAATCCTGACATGTTGAATGGGGATCCCTGTCAGGGCAAAGAACTCTTCTAAACTTGTCTTTTTCAGGAAGTGCTCATTCCCACTAAGTGATAATAATTACACAGTAGCTTTTCTGCCCTAAGGATGCCATGGCATGGACACACCTTCTACCAACCCCCCAAAGAGAGAAACTTAATAAAAGCTTTAAAAAAATCTAAAAACAAAAACCCTTCTCCAAGCAGAGTTTTGACTCTGAATATAGAGAAGTGCTGGAGCTTCATCACGTCCAGATTAAGGACTTCACTATTGATACAGATTTCACGCTGAAGGTGCTCACCTACTGTGATGATGGGTGCCAGTATAAAACCCTAAGATAGACAGACTGTTCCACTTGTGGGTCTGTGGACCACCAGTGATCCATGGAGCCCTTCCTTGGAGGTCTGTAGAATTAAATATTTGGGAAGCAAGCCTTAGGGAGATGAGATGTTTGGTCCATGAAATGACTTTTCTCTTGCAAAATGGGCCACAAGAGAAATAGACAGAGGATGACTATAACATGGGCTTGGATCTTGTATGTTACAAAATGGTGTAATGTCCATATCTGTAACACTCTTGGGAATCACCATCTACCTGACAGCCCTGTTGAGGCCACTGGCACGTCAAGTCCTGATATTTTAAACTTTACACACGACCTCTTTTCCTACCTCAGTTCTCTGACTTTGTGCAGCTCAGGTCTGAGTCGCTCCAGGCCCTCGTTCTGGATGAAGCAGGAATCTAGGGTTAGGCGCTGTATTTCTTCACAGCAACTCAACACATAAGCAAGGACCGTGCAATCCACCGGCATGAGGTATAAGTCGGAGAAGTCCATATGGGCAGCTTTACCCACAACATCATGCACAAGTTGGCTGTTCTGGGATTCAAAAAACAAATTTAATACATTCATCAGCCTCCTCTTCCCCTTGGGCTCTTCTGGGCTTTGCAGCTCCTCATAGTTCATCTCACTGAGCCACTCAATAACCTTGCGAGTTGCCTCTGCAGAGAACTTCCCCACATATTTCACCAGGGGCATCTTGGTTGCAGGATGGGAGAGCCCAGCCAGGAAGCGAGAGAAGATCTCATAATCACCTTCCTTACAGGACCTGGCTTTATCCATTGTGTCTCTGAACTTGTCCTCCTTGTAATCGAGATAATGCACGAGGGCAGCAAAGAACTCCTGGATGGTGAGGTGAAGGAAGGAGTAGGTCACCTGGGCAGAGTCATCAGTTTGAGGGTTCTCCACCAAGAAGCCACTGAGGAAGGGAGAAAACTCCACATTGAAATCCTGTAAATACTTCAGATCGAAGACTAGAATGTGGTTTGTGATGCCGTATTCAGCCAACCATCCAACCTTTACCAATGTATCTCGCATCCTCTGAGGCTCAGGCCGCTCCTGGGTGTGATTGGCCATAATATGGGTGACGTAGCTGACAAAGAGCTGGGTCACTGTTTTGGGTGCAGGCTGTGGTCTCCCTGCCGCGGCCATGAAGCAGGGTTTCAGGGCCATGCAGGTGATCCAGCAGTAAGACGGGTTGTAGCACAGCGTGTACAGAACCTGACTGTCCCTCACATATGCAAAGGCCTCTCTGGAGACTCGCTCGTCTCCAAAGAACATGGAAAAGTATCTTTCCCTTTCCTTGGAGAGGAAGCCCACGATACTGGCCACCCTATGGAAGACTCCAGCCTCCAAACTGGTCAACTTGCTGGGGCGGCTGGTCAGCAGCACAGAACATCCCTTCAGCAGAGTCTGATTCAGCAGGCTGGCGACAATCACAGTAACTGGCTTCACATCCCCCAGGTTCATACACAGCTCCTGGGATCCACCTCTGCTTAATTTCAAATCAGTCTTGCTCTCATCCAAGCCATCAAAGATGAAGAGCAACTTCTCAGGGTCTTCCAGGACTCTTGGGAGCTTGTCCTGGAGGTGCGGATATGTTTGACAGATCAGAGACTCTAGGCTTCTCTTCTGAGTAATAGTGTTCAGGTCCCGGAACTTGAAGAAGAAAACAAAGGCAAATTTCTGGTAGTGCTTCCCCATTGCCCAGTCAAAGATGAATTTCTGCACCAGGGTTGTCTTACCTACGCCAGCTACTCCGCTCACCATCACAGACAGGGGGACATGGTGGGTTCGAAAGCACCAGCGGAAGAGCCGGTCAGGGGTGATGCGCTCCAGCTCACTCTTTATTCTTCTCTGGAGGCGATATTCATTCAGCTCCCCAGCTGCTGCTAGGGCCTCGTGCTCCTGGTGTGTCTGCTTCTTGAAGTGATGGTCTGAGATGACCTTGAGCTCCACGTAGCGGTTAGAGATGGGGAAAATCTGCCCTTCAGATCGCCCTGGCATCTTGTTTTCCTTCATCATCCCTGTGAGATCACAGAGTTTGGCTTTGTGCTCTACTTGACAAGCTGAAAAGGAGAATTACGGTTATTTCCCCCTCCCTCATCTCATAGCTGTTTATTTTATGAGGGTTAGTAAATGGAAGTGGCTAGAGATGGAGGGAGGCTGAGGTCCCTGTGACTTCCCTGAGCTCCTGTTTTCCTTCACCATCCATGTCAGGTCACAGAGATCATCTTTGTACTTTTTTTGGTACACTGAAATGAAGAAATGTGTTGAGACGGACATGGCACAAACCCAGACAGCCTTTCTCTTACAGCCCCCCAGTCATATTTCTCTCTGTCTTTCCCATTTCGGACCTCCCCCTTACTGCCCATGACCATGTGCACCTGGAGAGATACCAAGCAGGGGCCTGATAGAGACACTTTTCTTCTAATTTATATTCTAATCAGATACCAAGCTGAGGCCTGGACAGATAAGTAACTGCTCTGATCTCACATCTCTGTCTTCCCTCTGCCCTTTCCTTTGCTGAGTCAGATCATGAATACTTTCTGGTTTACCCTGGAACTTGCACTGAGATCCAACAGGATGGAATCAGGTTTCCTGTTCCAGCCTGTGTGATTCAAGGCCAGCAAACCCAGCAACTCCAATAGGTCTAATTTTCACCACAGCTTGTTCCGTGTGCCTGTAAGATAAGGATCCCTAGAACTGCCGCTGCAGGTGTAGCTGAAGGAGAGCAGAGAAGCCCCAGCAGTTCAATCCATGCTAAGCCAGTTTGAGCCCAGCTGCTCTGCGCTTTCACAAGGGGGAAAGGGTGTAAGAAGCCTTCCTACCTCTACAGCAGCTGAACACAGTTGTAATGGCACAATTATCCAGCTTCCTCCTCCTGCTGCCTGCACCTTCCTAGCACCTTCTGGGACACATGAGACCCCTACAGGGGCTGAGGAGGAGGCAGGGCCATGGCCCTGTTCTGGGTGCCCTGGCTAGCAGAGATGGCTGGGCTCACAGTGGGGGGTAAGCTGCATGCTCTACAGGGGTATTTCCTCGGACCACTGTGGAGCTGTGCCCCACTGAAGCTGACCCTGAGTCGAGCAGTTCTGTCCCAACCCCAGTACAGATCAGTGCCTATAAGGCATGACTGAGCCCTTTATTGGCATGAACAGGGATGAAATTGCATCATGGTACCTTTCAGTTCGGCATCAAGAGCATGCCCATTTTCATTCAGGAGATTTTCCTGTAACAAATTTTGACCTAGAAAGAGAGAGAGAGAGAGAGAGAGAGAAAAGGAGCAGACTACACTGTTATGCGACATGGGTTACTGTTACAAATATGGCCTTAATACCATCACATTTCACTGTTCTGGGATCTTAGTTTTACCTCTTTATTTAACATCAGCAATGCAACACCGAGTGTCCCTTTTATATTTATTACAACTGAATCTTGTTTCTTCCCTACTATGAGAGAGAGACCGCAGGTACCCTGGGCTCATCTCCACATGGCTGGTAAAACCAGCTCCCACCCTTGTGCAGACATGAAGCCGTGTCTGAGATCAGGACACAGTCCTCTGCCTCAGACCATTTATTTGCTGTTCTTTTCTTGCTCATCACTGCACTGTAGGAGCTGCTCTCTGCCCAGCAATCTCTCTACAGGCTCTTTATCCATCCGAAAGGGGTTCCCTCTTCTGTAAAGATCCTTCTTTCTCTCTGCTTATGGCCAGCTCTGGTCACACTCGCTTTTCCTCAGCTCTCTGGTCACTTGATCATATGATTCCTGTGGATTCCCCCTCACATAGCCTTCGGGGAGGCTAGTCCCCCCGGCCCCACCCCTTCCATACGAGGGTCCCGCCAGTGGCTGGAACCCCAAGCCCCACACCTTCCCACCACCGGAGAAGCACTGGCCAGCCTGGGCCAGCCCGAGCCACACCAGCCAGCCAACCCAAGCCCCAGGCCAGCCCCAGCCTCACCGGAGAGCTGACCCGAGACACTGGCCAGCCCCAGCCGGTCCAGCACAAGCAGCCCCAGCCATGCCGGCCGACTGGCCCAACCCCGGGCTGGACCCAGCCACCCCAGCCCCAGCCTGGCCTCAGCCACCCTAGCCCCGGGACGGCCCCAGATGGTCCAGTCCGAGTAACCCAAGCCACACTGGCCGGCCGACCCGAGCACTGGGCTGGCCCCAGGCCAACCCAGCCACCCCAAGCCAGCCCGGGCTGGCCCAAGTCATGCTGGCCAGCCGCCACAGCCCTGAGCCAGCCTGAACAGCCCTGAGCTGGCCTGGGCCATCCCCAACAACCCCAGCTGCGCCAGCCAAAGAATGAGAAATGCGGCATGCCTCCCGTCCCGTGACCCCCAGCCACCCAGCGGAAGAACGCTGAGCTTTTTATATGCACCATGCAGATTCCGGGGCGGCTGCAGAGGCGGTAGCTGCTACTCAGCTTCCCAGGTTCACCAGTCATCTTCCTGGAGTCCAAGGAGATGACTGATGAACCCAGGAAGCTGAATAGCAGATACTGCCTCCTCAGCTGCCCCAGAGTCTGCATGGCACATAATAATAAGCAAAAACCTGCAACCCAGCATCCCACGGTACCAGCTGCCTATTATACCCACCGCCTATGCCCCCCACTTCATGTGTCCCCCATTCTGTGCAATGGGTACATTACCATTCTGAATGATTTCCTCCACCATCCCATGGAGATTGGGGTGAGCCCATCTGCTTTGCAGAGCAAACAGACACTCCCAGAGACCCAGCCCTGCGGCCTGGTTCATAGCCAAAATGTCATCTGCCAGCTTCTCTGCAGCGCTCGCTGAGTCGTGGTTCCTCTCCCAGTCATGGTAATCCTAAACCACAGAGGGACACCAGAGGAGGAAGAGTCAGAAGCTGCCTGCCATGGCAGGGTGGAATGTAGCAGCTAGAATGGAATCAGAAGTGTGACATAATGCCCCATGGCCAAGGGCTCCTTCTTAAAAGTGACCAACACAGTACCTGGCCCCTGGGTAGAAGGGCAGTGAAAGGCTCTGCCAGGGCAGAGTGGTGGGGAAGTGAAAGTGGTGATGTTTTGTTGTTGTGGCAGAGATCTGGGTTCATGTCTGACTCCCGGATGATACTAAACTGGGAGGAGTGGTAGATACGCTGGAGGGCAGGGATAGGATACAGAGGGACCTAGACAAATTGGAGGATTGGGCCAAAAGAAATCTGATGAGGTTCAATAAGGATAAGTGCAGGGTCCTGCACTTAGGACGGAAGAACCCAATGCACCGCTACAGACTAGGGACCGAATGGCTAGGCAGCAGTTCTGCGGAAAAGGACCTAGGGGTGACAGTGGACGAGAAGCTGGATATGAGTCAGCAGTGTGCCCTTGTTGCCAAGAAGGCCAATGGCATTTTGGGATGTAAAAGTAGGGGCATAGTGAGCAGATCGAGGGACGTGATCGTCCCCCTCTATTTGACATTGGTGAGGCCTCATCTGGAGTACTGTGTCCAGTTTTGGGCCCCACACTACAAGAAGGATGTGGATAAATTGGAAAGAGTCCAGCGAAGGGCAACAAAAATGATTAGGGGTCTGGAACACATGACTTATGAGGAGAGGCTGAGGGAACTGGTATTGTTTAGTCTGCAGAAGAGAAGAATGAGGGGGGATTTGATAGCTACTTTCAACTACCTGAGAGGTGGTTCCAGAGAGGATGGTTCTAGACTATTCTCAGTGGTAGAAGAGGACAGGACAAGGAGTAATGGTCTCAAGTTGCAGTGGGGGAGGTTTAGGTTGGATATTAGGAAAAACTTTTTCACTAGGAGGGTGGTGAAACAGTGGAATGTGTTGCCTAGGGAGGTGGTGGAATATCCTTCCTTAGAAGTTTTTAAGGTCAGGCTTAGAATCATAGAATATCAGGGTTGGAAGGGACCCCAGAAGGTCATCTAGTCCAACCCCCTGCTCGAAGCAGGTTTGACAAAGCCCTGACTGGGATGATTTAATTGGGGATTGGTCCTGCTTTTGAGCAGGGGGTTGGACTAGATGACCTCCTGAGGTCCCTTCCAACCCTGATATTCTATGATTCTATGATTCCCCATTGCATTTAGTCCTCAGATCAATGCAGATTGGGGGCTGCGCTGCATTTTCATTCCCAGAAGAGGTCAGGGGCAAATATCATTCTTACAGTGCCTTCTCCTTGCCAGCTCGAAGTGTAATTAAGGGTTATCTTTGTTCTCTGCACACCTGTAGAGACATCTGATGGATGGATGCCAAGGGGCCTAGAATGGAGGGCCAGGCTGAGAGCCCTCACTCCTAGAGATATTTGAAAGCTGGAAAGTGGCTGAACAACACAGTGTCCCACCAGCCAGGGAACCGTTCAGAGCAAGAGATCTCATAAAAGGCAACATGAAGTCTGTGCATGAGGGGGTGGGTGTGGGTGTGGGTGTGAGTGTGATTACAATTAACCATGAATTACAATAATGATGAACTGGGGGCAGATCTCTGTCACTCAGCTTGGGTGCTCACTTCTACACTGTATTTACCTTTGCTTGTGGTTTACAGTTTCTGGTATCTGTTGTTATATCTCCCTGGACCTCATAACCAGCATTAGCCTCTCTCCTGTCACCAACAAGCGACCAGGTCTCCATGGGGAGAGCTCTAAGGTCCTAGAATACCTAGGGCCTTTCCTGGTTTCCTGCTGGTCAGTGAGCGGCGCTGTACCTGGGCCTGCTGAGCAGTGACGACACCTCTGCTGGTGAGTTCCTCCAGCACAGTGAGAATGTCATTCTCAATGACGTAGACCAAGTCGGGGCGGAAGTGGTCGCTCAGCTTCTTCAGCTCCCCGGATGAATAATTATCCATGTGATTTCTGAAGGCTACAATATTGTCTGTGGAGAAGACCAGCACTTAGACAGTATGGCACTTATAGCTTGGGGTGGGCTCATATCCACTCACTGATAACTAGCACCCTTATCCGAGACATCACAGCTACTCCAGATGCAGCCTCTACCAGAAGGTTGCATTTTAAGAAATCATATAGGAGCATTGGTCACAGTAACTGCAGTGCCAGCCTCTCCCTGCAGGAGGCGCTGCAGGGAATGGTTCAGGAGCAGGGCTGTTACAATGCCCTCACTGTTCTAGTCCCAGCCTTTCCCAGGAGGCGCTGTCAGGAACAGCACTGAGTTTTACTGTCTGTAGGAGCAGTGCTGCTTTGCTTATGATGAGAGGAGCCCATCGATCACACTCACCTTCGCTCACCGCAGCCCGTTGGTTGGAAGCCATTTTATTCACTTCTGCTCTTATGTCTCTGAGAAGTCTAGGGAGAGGGAAATGTACGTCACACAGAGGCAAGGAACGTCACTTCCATCTCCAGGTTAATAGCTCAGCATAAGGGAGGAGCAGCCATATCTACATCTGGAATTTTACCTCTGTGTTTTGTATGAAAATGTGTATCTACTTCTGCTTTTCAGACCCTAGTCTCAGGATAAAGCTTGGATTGTCTGAGGACTTTCAAGGAAATCTGTTAATTAGTTTCTGAGTTCTATTCAGTTTTTTAAAAGTTTGCAGATAAGGCCTGGTTTTCTTTCACATTAAGGCCCCTGCACATCACTCTGGCTGTGTGAAAGGGCTTTACATGGGGCACACATTACAGTTTGCTGCCAGAGGCATGTAAACAGGCAGTAGGGCCTCTGTAGTTATCGCAGACTAAGAGTGTCCACATGGGAGTTATACCAGTATAACGACAGTGGTGAAATTATGCAAGTAAATTTCCCCATGTAGACAAACCCTCAGACGTTTGAGCTCCTGATCATCTCTTACCTCTAGCTTAAATACTACAGACTGTAGAGAGTCACAAATGGGTACAGCCAGCTTTGACAGTGTGCCCTCCATCCAACCCGGGAGTGGCTTTCTAGGCCACTAACATTTGTGTTGCACTGTAGAGGAAGGACTTAGAAAGAACAGTGGCTACTTCCACAAGAATAAGATCTTCATGAAATGCCCCTGATGAATGTGGAGCTCTGGTACCATCTGGGCGCTTTCACAAAGATCTGCTTTTTCCTGGAAGTAGCCGTTGCTGTGCTGGAGAGCTTTTCTTAATCCAACAACCTGGGGAAAACTCTGCTGGTTCTGTGTAATCTACACATGGTGTCCCGACACAAATACAAGGAAATGAAAAAGTTAAGACACCTAAATGGTATGTACCCTCTACTCCTGTACCATAATAGTGGTTGTCATGGTTACAAGGCTAGCTCAACCTCTGTCCCCTTGCTGGTTTCTCTGGGAGCATTCACCTCAGGTCTTGGGCCACTTGCCTATCATAGGTTGGAATTGCGGGAGTCTTCCACTCTTAGGCCAGGACTAGGTCAGGCTACCCCAGGTGCCAGTCATTAACACCCGTCAGGCAAAATTGGATTCTGGGCACCTGTGGATCTTCCCTTCAGGAGCCTGTGACCAGTGTTAATGACCAGCAGCCTCCTCAAAGCCAAGTATTTGTATTGAGCATTGGGGACAAAGCATTAGAGAAAAGGATGTTAAAATGGACAACCTGAAGGCATGTCTGCCTTACCCCAAGTACTACTGCGCCATCACGGTGACTTGGCCAACAATGTTCCGCAGATACCCCCCCAGTTTCCACATCTGAGTGAATTCGCAACCTGGTTCCCGCAGGCTTCTGCAATGTTGGCAAGTTTGGCACGGGCCAAGCCAATTCTGTAGGCTCAGCAGGGGGTCGAGCCAGCATCGTCAGAGCTCCAATAGTTCTGACCTTGTCCCCTGACAGCTCTAAGTGACCATCTTCTCCTTCCTGCCTGACCCCTCCCAAACAAGAACAAGCATCACCATGTTCATCACAGTGGTGCAGAGGCAGAAAAGCATCAGCTGCCCCATTTTACAAATAAACCGTGGGGTTGGACCAGGTCATTCCTAGCACAGCAGGGGATAGAACCTTGGTCTCTGAGATGGTGGATTCCAACCTCATCCACTTAGCACGAATCTGTCAGACCTATGCTGTTTATCACAGTTGTTCTAATTGCTGGGTCATACTCCCCTCTCAGCGCAAGGAGTAGAACTTATGCTTCCTGACCCCCAGTTTTGCCTGCTTTAACCACTAAACCACACTTCCATCTCAGAATTAAAATTAATGATAGCTTCGTGATCATCACTTGAACACATTTGTAATATGCAAGCAGAATGAAGTCCAGACCAGTAATATACATACTTTAATAGGGCCAATTTCACAAAAACAATTATGGGCCAGATCAGCTGGGAGGAAAAATGTAATCAGAAAAATGTAAATGATCATTGGGAATTATTTAATAACACCTTACTAGTTGCCCCAAAAGCCACAATCCCAAAACTGAGGAAGAAGGCTGGGCTGGTTAAACAAAGATTTGGTTTAGAGGGGAAGTGAAGGCAGCTATAAAAATAAAAAAATACTATATAACAAGTGGGGAAAAGGGCAAGTTGACAGTAATGAATATTAATCAGAAGTTAGGAATTGTAGAAAAGTGATAAGGGACTCAAAGAAAAATCTCTGGCCAGCAGAGTTAAGGACAATAAGAAGGATTGCTGAGTATGACTGCTCAGAGCTCCGGTACAAAACTGTAGAAAAACCTGAGTGTCTCTGGATTAAGTTTAGAAGTGTGTGTAACAAGTGTGATGTAGTGGTGGGAGTCTGCTATAGACCACTGGACCAGGGGGATGAGGTAGATGAGGCTTTCTTCCGGCAGCTCACGGAAGCTACTAGATCGCATGCCCTGATTCTCATGGGTGACTTTAATTTTCCTGATATCTGCTGGGAGAGCAATACAGCGGTGCATAGACAATCTAGGAAGTTTTTGGAAAGCGTAGGGGACAATTTCCTGGCGCAAGTGCTAGAGGAGCCAACTAGGGGGGGCGCTTTTCTTGACCTGCTGCTCACAAACCGGGTAGAATTAGTGGGGGAAGCAAAAGTGGATGGGAATCTGGGAGGCAGTGACCATGAGTTGGTTGAGTTCAGGATCCTGACGCAGGGAAGAAAGGTAAGCAGCAGGATACGGACCCTGGACTTCAGGAAAGCAGACTTCGACTCCCTCAGGGAACGGATGGCCAGGATCCCCTGGGGGACTAAATTGAAGGGGAAAGGAGTCCAGGAGAGCTGGCTGTATTTCAAGGAATCCCTGTTGAGGTTACAGGGACAAACCATCCCAATGAGTCGAAAGAATAGTAAATATGGCAGGCGACCAGCTTGGCTTAATGGTGAAATCCTAGCGGATCTTAAACATAAAAAAGAAGCTTACAAGAAGTGGAAGGTTGAACATATGACCAGGGAAGAGTATAAAAATATTGCTCGGGCATGTAGGAATGATATCAGGAGGGCCAAATCGCACCTGGAGCTGCAGCTAGCAAGAGATGTCAAGAGTAACAAGAAGGGTTTCTTCAGGTATGTTGGCAACAAGAAGAAAGCCAAGGAAAGTGTGGGCCCCTTACTGAATGAGGGAGGCAACCTAGTGACAGAGGATGTGGAAAAAGCTAATGTACTCAATGCTTTTTTTGCCTCTGTTTTCACTAACAAGGTCAGCTCCCAGACTGCTGCGCTGGGCATCACAAAATGGGGAAGAGATGGCCAGCCCTCGGTAGAGATAGAGGTGGTTAGGGACTATTTAGAAAAGCTGGACATGCACAAGTCCATGGGGCCGGACGAGTTGCATCCCAGAGTGCTGAAGGAATTGGCGGCTGTGATTGCAGAGCCATTGGCCATTATCTTTGAAAACTCGTGGCGAACCGGGGAAGTCCCGGATGACTGGAAAAAGGCTAATGTAGTGCCAATCTTTAAAAAAGGGAAGAAGGAGGATCCTGGGAACTACAGGCCAGTCAGCCTCACCTCAGTCCCTGGAAAAATCATGGAGCAGGTCCTCAAAGAATCAATCCTGATGCACTTGCATGAGAGGAAAGTGATCAGGAACAGCCAGCATGGATTCACCAAGGGAAGGTCATGCCTGACTAATCTAATCGCCTTTTATGATGAGATTACTGGTTCTGTGGATGAAGGGAAAGCAGTGGATGTATTGTTTCTTGACTTTAGCAAAGCTTTTGACACGGTCTCCCACAGTATTCTTGTCAGCAAGTTAAAGAAGTATGGGCTGGATGAATGCACTATAAGGTGGGTAGAAAGCTGGCTAGATTGTCGGGCTCAACGGGTAGTGATCAATGGCTCCATGTCTAGTTGGCAGCTGATATCAAGTGGAGTGCCCCAAGGGTCGGTCCTGGGGCCGGTTTTGTTCAATATCTTCATAAATGATCTGGAGGATGGTGTGGATTGCACTCTTAGCAAATTTGCGGATGATACTAAACTGGGAGGAGTGGTAGATACGCTGGAGGGGAGGGATAGGATACAGAAGGACCTAGACAAATTGGAGGATTGGGCCAAAAGAAATCTGATGAGGTTCAATAAGGATAAGTGCAGGGTCCTGCACTTAGGACGGAAGAATCCAATGCACCGCTACAGACTAGGGACCGAATGGCTAGGCAGCAGTTCTGCGGAAAAGGACCTAGGGGTGACAGTGGACGAGAAGCTGGATATGAGTCAGCAGTGTGCCCTTGTTGCCAAGAAGGCCAATGGCATTTTGGGATGTATAAGTAGGGGCATAGCGAGCAGATCGAGGGACGTGATCGTTCCCCTCTATTCGACATTGGTGAGGCCTCCTCTGGAGTACTGTGTCCAGTTTTGGGCCCCACACTTCAAGAAGGATGTGGATAAATTGGAGAGAGTCCAGCGAAGGGCAACAAAAATGATTAGGGGTCTAGAACACATGACTTATGAGGAGAGGCTGAGGGAGCTGGCATTGTTTAGCCTGCAGAAGAGAAGAATGAGGGGGGATTTGATAGCTGCTTTCAACTACCTGAAAGGGGGTTCCAAAGAGGATGGCTCTAGACTGTTCTCAAAGGTAGCAGATGACAGAACGAGGAGTAATGGTCTCAAGTTGCAGTGGGGGAGGTTTAGATTGGATATTAGGAAAAACTTTTTCACTAAGAGGGTGGTGAAACACTGGAATGCGTTACCTAGGGAGGTGGTAGAATCTCCTTCCTTAGAGGTTTTTAAGGTCAGGCTTGACAAAGCCCTGGCTGGGATGATTTAACTGGGAATTGGTCCTGCTTCGAGCAGGGGGTTGGACTAGATGACCTTCTGGGGTCCCTTCCAACCCTGATATTCTATGATTCTATGATTCTATGATTTTTTTTAATATATTAGAAACAAAAAGAATGCTGACAATGGTATTTTTAATATATTAGAAACAATAATAATGCAGAAAAGGCAGAAGTGTTTAATAAATATTTCTGTTCTGTACTTAGGGAAAAAACAGATTATATAGTCTCATCACATGGTGATAACACTCCTTCTATTCCACTAGTATCTCTGGAGGATGTTAAACAGAGATACTAAAGTTAGATATTTTTAAATCTGCAGGTCCAGATAACTTGCATCCAAGAGTTTCAAAACAGCTGGCTAAGGTCCTTACTGGACCATTAATGTTGATTTTCAATAAGTCTTGGAGCACTGGGGAAGTTTCAGAAGACTGGAAGAAAGCTAATGTTGTGCCAATTTTTAAAAAAGGGTAAATGGGATGGCACTGGTAATTATAGGCCTGTCAGCATGACATCAATCCACAGCAAGATAATGGAGCGGGTGATATGGGACTCGATTAATAAAGAATTTTAAAAGGCTAATGTAATTAATGCAAGTCAACATGGATTTATGGAAAGTAGATTCTATCTGTGATAAATAAAGCGGGTGATAGCTCCCTTTGATGGACACCCACCCAACCAGTTAGCTGTAAAATCCCTCTTGGTAGCTGTTCTTTACTTGTTTTACCTGTAAAGGGTTAAAAAGTCCCCCAGGTAAAGAAAAAAAAGTGGGCACCTGGCCAAAAGAGCCAATTGGAAGGTAGAACTTTTTAAAGCTGGGAAAGAAACTTTCCCTTTGTCTGTTGTTCTCTGGGCTGGAGGAAGAGCAGCCATGCTATAAGCAGCTTAAGCTGGGTATGATCATAAATCATCAGATCATGCCTAGAACTACTTATCTGAACTCAAAATGTGTAAGTAGATCAGAATGTTTAGCTAGACGCAATTAGGGTTATTTCTTTTATTTCATATTGGCTTGTGAACTCCTCTGTGCTAACCCCAGATGCTTTTGTTTGCTTGTAACCTTTAAGCTGAACCCCCAAGAAAGCTATTTTGGGTGCTTGATTTTTGGAATTGCTCTTTTAAAATCTAGCCCCAAAAAAGCCTATGTTCCAAATGTATTTTCTTTCTTTTTGTTTTTAATAAAATTTACCTCTTTTAAAAACAGGATTGGATTTTTGGTGTCCCAAGAGGTTTGTGCATGTTGTTTGATTAGCTGATAACCACAGCTAATTTCCTTTGTTTTCTTTCTCAGCTCTTCCCCGGAGGGGGGGTGAAAGGGCTTGAGGGTACCCCACAGGGAGAAATTCCCAAGTGCTCCTTCCTGGGTTCAAAGGGTTTGGGTTTTTTGCATTTGGGTGGTGTCAGCATTTACCAAGCCAGGGTCAGAGAAAAGCTGTAACCTTGGGAGTTTAATACAAGCCTGGAGTGGCCAGTATTAATTTTTAAAATCCTTGCGGGCCCCACTTCTGCACTCAGAGTGACAGAGTTGGGATTCAGCCTTGACACTGTCTAACTTGACATCTTTTTTTGATGACATTATGAGTTTGGTTGATAATGGTAATAATGTTGACGTAATATACATAGACTTCTGTAAGGTGTTTGACTTGGTATCGCACAACATTTTGATTAAAAACTAGAACGATATAAAATTAACATGGCACATTAAATGGATTAAAAACTGGCTAACTGATAGGTCTCAAACAGTAACAGTACTGTTAGTAACCCATAGTAACATAGTAACCCAGCGCTCCGGGGCTGGCTGCCTGGCACACCGGGGGTGCTCTAGGCTCCTGCGGGGTAGGGGGGGCAGAAGGGGAGAGGGAGGGGAGGGGCCGAGGGCACAAGGGGAGGGGCCGAGGGCTAGCCTCCCCCAACGGGCAGGTCACAGGCCGCCCATGACCTGACGGGCCAGCCAGCTCCAGTTAAAAGCACCACTGCTCTCGAATGAAGGGTTTGTGTGTGGACTGGACTCAGATTAGGTGCAGCACTTGAATTATAGCTCGAATTAACTCCGCACCACAGCCAAAACCTGAGACACTGAGCACAGCGGATGGGAGGTTTGGTCAGTGTGCAGAGAGGAGACCCTGCCTGTACCAGCCCCAAACTGCAGGGCTTATCTTTCATGCGCATGGGCACATGAACCAGCTCAACAGGCAGCAGCCTCTGGCAGTGAAAACTGAGCTGATCACTTACGGGTCATTGGACCAGCTGTGCAAAAACTGCAGCCTTCCTGTTACGAGGTCAAAGTCTGCCCCGGCACAAGCAGGTGACTCCAGTGAGTTCTGGGGCTGGTTGTAGGTCTGGGCCCCTGTGTAGAACCCTCAGGCACATTCTGGGGAACAGGCTCCTCAGCTGAGCTCTTGCCAAGATCTCAGGTGGAATGGAAAAGCCAGACACCCCACCCCCAGCCCCTCCTGCAGAGCCTCCTCCCGCCCAACCCATCACTTTCACTTTCATTTTTATTCCGCCTCACACTCAGAAAGCTGCAGTTTGGGGAGATTCTGCCCCCCTCATCTGATCCCAGCTCTCCCCCTTGGACTGGGAGGTGGGAAGAGCCCCAGGAAATCCTGTCACTTACTTTGCAGGCTCCAGGGAGGCAGCACCGTCTGCAGCATATGCTCCCAGCCTTGCACCGTATGGGTTGCCAGACTCCAGGAAGGAAGTCCTGGAGGAGGAAAACCCCGCCTCTGTGCAGACACACACACTCATGCCCCCTCACAGATATTTAAGTTATGTGGAGTCAAACAGGGCTCCTAAAGCAAGGGGATGGCTGCCAGCTGAGCTGGAGGAGACTGGGCTCAGTCATGTCATAGAATCATAGAATATCAGGGTTGGAAGGGGCCTCAGGAGGTCACCTAGTCCAACCTCTGCTCAAAGCAGGACCAATCCCCAACTAAATCATCCCAGCCAGGGCTTTGTCAAGCATGACCTTAAAAACCTCTAAGGAAGGAGATTCCACCACCTCCCTAGGTAACGCATTCCAGTGCTTCACCACCCTCCTAGTGAAAAACTGTTTCCTAATATCCAACCTAAATCTCCCCCACTGCAACTTGAGACCATTACTCCTTGTTCTGTCATCTGCTACCACTGAGAACAGTTAAGATCCATCCTCTTTGGAACCCCCTTTCAGGTAGTTGAAAGCCGCTATCAAATTCCCCCCTCACTCTTCTCTTCTGCAGACTAAATAATCCCAGTTCCCTCCTCTCCTCATAAGTCATGTGCTCCAGCCCCCTAATCATTTTCGTTGCCCTCCGCTGGACTCTTTCCAATTTTTCCACATCCTTCTTGTATTGTAGGGCTCAAAACTGGACACAGTACTCCAGATGAGGCCTCACCAATGCTGAATAGAGGGGAATGATCATGTCCCTCAATCTGCTGGCAATGCCCCTACTTATACATCCCAAAATGCCATTGGCCTTCTTGGCAACAAGGGCACACTGTTGACTCATATCCAGCTTCTCATCCACTGTAACCCCCAGGTCCTTTTCTGCAGAACTGCTCTCTAGCCACTCAGTCCCTAGTCTGTAGCAGTGCATGGGATTCTTCCATCCTAAGTGCGGGATTCTTCCATCCTAAGTGCAGGATTCTGCACGTGTCTTAGTTGAACATCAACAGATTTCTTGTGGCCCAATCCTCTAATTTGTCTCGGTCCCTCTGTATCCTATCCCTACCCACTAGCGTATCTACCGATCCTCCCAGTTTAGTGTCATCTGCAAACTTGCTGAGGGTGCAATCCATGCCATCCTCCAGATCATTAATGAAGATATTGAACAAAACCAGCCCTGGGACCTTCAGGCACTCCCTTTGATACCGGCTGTCAACTAGACATGGAGCCATTGATCACTACCCATTGAGCCCGATGATCTAGCCAGCTTTCTATCCACCTTATAGTCCATTCATCCAGCTCATACTTCTTTAACTTGCTGGCAAAAATACTGTGGGAGACTGTAACAAAAGCTTTGCTAAAGTCAAGGAATAACACATCCACTGCATTACCTAGGGAGGTGGTGGAATCTCCTTCCTTAGATATTTTTAAGGTCAGGCTTGACTAAGCCCTGGCTGGGATGATTTAGTTGGGGATTGGTCCTGCTTTGAGCAGGGGGTTGGACTAGATGACCTCCTGAGGTCCCTTCCAACCCCGATATTCTATGATTCCCCTCATCCATAGAGCCAGTTATCTCGTCATAGAAGGCAATCAGGTTGGTCAGGCATGACTTGCTCTTGGTGAATCCATGCTGACTGTTCCTGATCACTTTCCTCTCCTCTAAGTGCGTTCACGTTTTTAGGGTGAAAGGACAAAGTCAACCCACTAGGACTGGAAAGATCCCATTGTGACCATGGTGGGATAGAGGGGACAGCAACACCACCTGGACACCACAGCCTGAACGACACAGTTCTCGCCGCAGAATGAGGCAGCAGGGGCACCAACAAGGCAAGCTGCCCCGCTACACCCCCAAGTGGGGTCATCCTCTTTGATCCTTTCAGGCTGCTAACACTGCCAGTCAAGGGAGCCAACTGCAGCCAGTCGCAGGGTGGTTTGGGTCAAGTGGGCCCACTAGGGACTGGACTGAGAACCACAAACTCATTGCACTCAGGACTTCTCAGAGACCCAGTGTACTGGCAGCCTTAAGAGAAGGAGAACAGGTATCAGGGGCTGCATTTATCAAACAGCCCAGGACCACCATTGTCCCACTGCTAGCAGGGGATTCCTCAGTGCACTCTGGTCACTTTCTGCTGGCCTGGATGGAAATGCACAGAAAACCTGCAGAATGGGGGCTTCCTTAGCCAGTGCAATTGACATAGCAGCGCTGCAGCCCTCCCACCCCACTGGTGTCCCCAGGGTGGGGGCAGGAAGGTGCTGGTCAGGGTATCCCAGGGGGGCTCTTGCAGCCAGGTCGCAAGCTAGGAAATCTGGTAGTGCAGCTCTAATCTGTGCTGGGGGCCAAATGGGCTCCTGGCAGCACCAAGAGCACAGGCCATCCCTCCTCTATCCCTGAGCAGGGCTCAGCACCTACCCAGAGGTTCATTCTTCCCTGCCTCCCAGATACATGTAGGCACCTTGCATGAGATCTGCAAAAGCATTCAGCTCCAGATCCACAAAGGCATTTAGGCACCTAACTCCCATATATTTCTATGGGAGTTAGGAGCCTAAATACCTTCACAGATCTGGGGCTCAGGGTTGACCTAACTCTGCTCCCATGGAAATAGTAAAACTTCCATTGACTTCAACTGGAGCAGAATCAAGCCAACACTGAGTACTTTTGGAAATCCCATCCCTTTGCATAGTCCAACAGGACTTCTCTGGATACCCCAATGGATTCAGGGGCAGGTGCCCAGATCCTCCTGTCGGCATTTTGGCCATAGCAAAGGTTCTATGCCACTAGTATTTGCAATATTTCCTCACAAATCTTGTCTGTTTGCGGTTTGTTTTACTTATTGAACTAAGCAAAAAAAAGTGGGTTTGTGCCCTTTTTTGCTTCTTTCTGGTGCCTGAAGAAGACCCATTGGGGTGAAGGGGGCAGCCTCTGTCTGGTGTTTACCATGGAAAGCCCAGAATTTCAAATCCGAGCTTCCCTGGTTTTGCTGGAGGATCCAGAAATGTGTGTTGGGAGCATTCATGGCAGGAGTGTTGAACCTTTAGGAATCTGCCAACTCTTCATGGGGTGTCTGAGTCTGTGCTCTGGGAAGCTGTGCTGAGACCCACAATGCAATGATCCAACAGCAGATGAAAGGAGTGCTGTGCAGGGATACGGAGTAGGTGTTTCCCTGCTAAACGATCTGCTGTGATTTGCACTGTTACAAGGGCCTATGGGGCAACAAACATATACATACAACTGAAGTACCTATGTAACCCACACACCTTCTGTGTGTGGTGTTCTGTCCCATCTAGTGGCACTGAGACCACTTAAAGAGAGAGAGAGAGAATGAGTCTGCTCTACAGCCTTAGCTAACAGCCAGATGGCTTTTAGCTCATGAGGTAGAGGCTCATGCACTAAGCTCCAGAGGTCCTTGGTTCGATCCTGCCCACCGAGAACTGGGGTCTGTCGGTTTTACACCTGCACCTGTATGCTTGTTGGCTAGTATCCCTGGAGCCCTGTTGTAAGAATGTGGCAGCAGCCCAGAGGCTGGGCCCAGCTGTAATGACACAGCGGCAGGGACATGGGCTGCACTGAGCCAAGTGATAATCGGGAAGTTCAGTTCAGCTTCAGACATCAGAACTCCTGGGAGCCAGCCCTGCCCCTTTGGAACATGCCCTGCAGTACTGGACAGCTGGGGCAGGGGAGGCACAAATCCCGCAGCTGTGGTTAGCCCCACTTAGCCACAGGGCGTCACTGTTGCTCTGCATCCGAAAATGCAGCTCTCCTGCAGCAACTGGATGTATGTCCTGCCCCTTGCCCTCTCCTGCTGCTGTCTGGCTTGGGGGCCAGCTGTTGCAGGGCTCGATTCCAGCTCTTCTCTGATGGGTACTGCCAGCTGGCCATGACACCAGCCAGGCAAGGTGGCAGCCTGGCGTAACGAGCACAGGGGCGGTGCTGTGCGCCTCTGGTAACAGCCCAGCAGATTCCCCACCCAGCAGGCCTGAGCCTGTGCTTCTGCCCGCCTGGGGGGCCACAGCGTCATGCTGGAGAGGACCAGACGGACCTTCGCTGTCAACCCAGCCTGGGCAGCGGGATGGCGGCAGGGCTCAGCAGCGGCTGTGCAATTCCCTGGCAAGGGCCGAGCCAGGGCAGACTCAGCCCCGGGCCAGCTGCCGTGTCCGGTCCAGACTTCGGGGGCCCAGACAGCTCGTGTGACAGGTCAGCGCGGGGAGGCACCTCTACGAGACACAGCCCCGAGCGCCGGGACTGTCCCTATAAAACGGGGCCTCTGGGCTCCCTGTCTGGGCAGGGCAGGCCGCTGCAGTAGCAACAAGGAGCGAAACACAGCGGCTTTCACGGCGCCCCGCGGGAGCAGCGGGCCGCGCCCGGCCCGCGCAGACCCTCCTCTCCGCGCGCCACGCGCCCGGGGGCCTCGGGGCGGGGCGGGGCGGGGCGGGCAGCGCCGGGAGGCGGAGTCAGCCCGTCAGACGGGGGCGGGGTCTCGGGGGGGCGCTTGTCGCGGGGCCCTGAGCTGGGAGGAGGAGCCAATGCGGGGGGCCCCAGCGAGGAGGGGGCAGAGCAGGTCACGTGGGGCGGGGCGACAGGGACGGCTCAGCTCTCGGATAGTGACGCGAGACTTAGTGGGATTCGGGGGCGGGCCCAGGTCGCTGTTTCCCCATTGGTTGGTGTCTGCCCCGCGTGGTTGCTAGGAGACAGGTGTAAACAGAGCGGAAAGCTGCCGGACGCGGCATGGCAACGAACTACAAAGCGGGGCAGGTGAGAGCCGGGGGGCGGGCACCCCCCTGGACCCCCCACTGACCCCGCCCCCCCCCGCGGGTCCCCACCGACCCCGGCCCCACACCCCCCCCGCGGGCCGCCACCGACCCCGGCCCCACTCCCCCTGCGAGCCCCCGCGGGTCCCCACCGACCCCTGCCCCAAACCCCCGCGGGCCGCCACCGACCCCGCCCCCCCACCGCGCGGGTCCCCACCGACCCCGGCCCCTCGCGGGCTCTCCCTGGCCCACCCCCCACCCACCCATGGCCGGGAATTCGGAATCATGCTCACCCCCTTTATAGCATAGGAAACTAAGGCCCAGTGGGAAGCAACTTGTCCGAGGTCGCAGTGCAGGTGTGACCAGGGTCCCTGGCTCCGAGCTAACGCGTGACTGGCTCCCACCCCGGGCTCCTTCCCCCAGGCCAGGCTGCCTGGCCACAGGGCTGTACTGGAAGCTCACGACCTTGGTGTTTCTGGGTTGCTTCACAGGACCCAAGGGTGGCTCACATGCATCCCTAGCAGGAATAGGGTTTTGTGAGCCCTCCTCACCACCTGCCCCCTGCTGTTAAGGGCACAAGGGTGTCAGTGCAACAGGAGGGGCTGGAGAGACCTCTGGCAGGGGAGGAGGAGGTAGGTTTGGGGGATGAGCCATCCCAGGCTATTTAAGCATACCCTGAGTACCTGCAGTGGGCAGTGGAGCTCTCTGGCTCTGTTTAATGGCCTGCCCCCTCTCTCTTTTGCAGTATGAGGATGCCTTCACTGCACAGAATTTGCAAAACTGGACCCTGCCCAAGCTCTACAAGGAGGTAGGACCTCTCTGCCCTCACCCTGCATTGCCTCTGCTTCCCTTTCATGGAGACGGGTTCCAGAGCTCTATGCAGGCCTGGCTATGCTGCATCTGTACCTCACCTGTGCAGAAAGGGTGGCTACACCATCTCACAACAGAGCCTGTGCCCCACTGGCCACCTCTGCTGTTCTTCCTGGCTGCTCCTCTAACATGAATTGGAACCCAATGGAGTGGTGTGGCAATAAGATAGTGTCAATGGAGCCAGAGTAATCTGGAGACAGACCCTGCCTCCCACTTGCCTCTGTGCTGGGATCAGACCAGAGTGGGCCAGGCAGCCAGTTTGGGGACCTATGCGTTTGGATCACATGCAGCTGGGAAACCCTGTTTGCCCAGTGCGGACAGCCAGGCTGGTGGACTCCCGCTGCCCTCCCAGGCACTCCCTCATAGACCAGCCTGAGTGGCTGTGCCCGTCCATTTCTGTTCTACCTATACATGGACGCTTTAACCCCTGTTGTTTTCCTTCTGCCCTCAGCACCCCTCTGCCCGGGAAGGCTACACCCAATTTGTAGCCAATGACCGAGGACACCTGCTCCCTGCAGTGCCACGTTCAAAGGTGAGTGGGCTAGTTTGGCTCCTGTTTCCTAAGCAGTTTTCAGGGTTTGGAGTTGGGAGCCCTGCGAGTGGGCAAGTAACTATCTGCCTTGTCTCTGGTGCCCATCACCATCGTATCTAAGCCCTTCCAAGTACATCAGACCTGCACTGTGAAGGCTAGAGGGAACTAAACTGAGCAGCAGTGCCCAAGCCCTGGGTGATCAGATGGTGACGACTCCTCTTCTTCATGTCCCGTTGTTGAATCACATTGAGTAGTTAACCCTGAAGGCCCCTGCCCATTAGCACTCAGTGCTGGTGCTGGCCCAGGGAGGGGTGTGGTCACAAACAGATGGGGATGTGCCCATGAGCCCCCACCGCAGAAGCTGCTGCATTTTGCCCTTCCTGGCCGCGGTTTGAGGGAGTTCTGTGTGGGGAAGGTATTTTCTAACCATGAGCTGGGAAACCAGCTGGCTTTATACAGAGCCCATCTTTCCCGGGGCATCCAATCCACTGTGCAGAGCCCTCTCCTGGGAGCACTAGCTCTGCCTGGTAAGGTGAAAGCTCAGGCTGTGCCTCCCTCAGAGAGGGTGCAGCTAGCCAGTGCCAGTATTTAGTCACCCTAGGAAACTGGTGCGGAGGAACCAGAGGCAGCAGCTGGATTCCTGGGTTGTTCCTGCCCCCCTCAGAACCAGAGCTAGGGAAGCTACAATTGTGCGTGAACCTGGTTGTTGCTGGCTCGATTTTCCTCTGGGGGCAGGAAGCTTTGGGTAATGGGGTCTCACTGCCAGCTGGCTGGGTTCAGCTCCCTTCAAACATGGCTGTAGCAGTCCTTTGATGACAGTGCAGACAGGGCTGCTCTGTCTCACAGAGAAGTTCCCAGGGCTCTGCTGCCAAAGACCAAAGCCATCTCCCCCTGCCCTGCAGGCTTCCCCCTGGGGAACATTTATGGGAACCTGGGAGATGCCACTGAAGATCCCCCCAACCAAACTGAACCTGACCTCTCGCTCGGCTGCCGCAGCCTCGCACCTCACCAACTGGATCCACAAGTCCACCGCACTGACCAGCGCCTGCAACGGCCTCCGCCCGCAGATCACCGGCAAGGTAGGGAGCCCTGCGTGCAGGGGCCACACCTTCCTACAGGGAGCAGGCGGCACCAGACACCTGTTTGCCGAGGTTTGGGTTGAACTCTTGCAGAGCAGAATTGGAGGGGGGGGGGGCTTGTGGGCCTCCTCAATGGGCACTAGGAAATTGCAAGTGTATATAACTGTTGGTATTAATCTGTGCCTGCCCTGACTGACATGAGGGTGTCTGGGTCTCTGGGCTGGGCAAGTCATCAAATAGTAGCTGTGCCCCAAAATACCAAGGCCGGGGTTTATGAAGCCAGCTGGGTGTGTCCCGAGGGCAGATTTCAAGGACACTCTCCTAGCCTCTTCTCCATCCTTTCAGAGCGTATTTAATCTCCTGAATGTGGCAGCCTGTGCCGTGCTGGGGAGGGGCTGACTCAGCTGCATGGCGAAGGCACCTTGAAGGGCTGCCACCCCCCAATCTGCAACCCACATGCACAAATAAAACCCTAATCTCTGTACTTAGCACAGCAGAGGCTAATGCTGAGGGTTCGGTCTCATCTCACGATGGCCATGGGCTCTGGAAACTGACAGCTCCTGGTATTTGGGGAGTGGAACCTTCTCCTCCCCCCTGGTTTGGTCCCTTTCCCATTGGGTAGGTGCTGGGGGGTTTTCTCTGCTGGCTTGTAGGGCTGCATTGGCCGGTGTGACAGGGCTGCTGGGTTCAGTATAGCATTGATTGTGCACCCTGCCGTGGCAGCTTGGGGCGTGTGCCCATGCAGTCCTGCAGCTGTGCCAGCAGGGGGTGCTCACAAACCACAGCTGCCCAAAGTGGCAGCTGCCCAGAATGCAGAAATGCCCCTGCCCCAGCTGCTCCTGGTAGTGCTGAGTGGCATCTCTTTGCTTACCTGACGAACTCACTCTTGCACAGAAGCCCATGCCCCAAGCAGGTGGGGACTTCTGTCCACATTGCCCTCCCAAGGGAGGGGCTGGGAACCATAGACCTACAGGTGAAGGTAGGTCATGTTGGACATGCTGCCCAGGGCAGGAAGAAGGGGCTTTTGGTAGGAGGTAGGCAGGTCAGGCCTGACCAGTTCTCCCAGCGGCCAGAAGCCCTTCTTGAACTCATGGGATTCTGGCCAGTGCCCGAATCCCATGAGTTAACGTCTCTAAAGGGTTAACTTTGCAGCACTGTCAGTAAGGTCTCCAGTGCCACTGGAGTCAGTGATGAAAGCAGATGGTCCCTGGCCGGTGCTTGAGCGGCACCAGCTCATCCTCAGGTGTCAGTGGAAACAGCCTGCTGCAGCAGCACTGCGGAAGGGAAGGGGTTACAGCCAGCCTGGGGAGGGACCTTCTAGGAACGTGGAGACCCAGGCAGGGAAAGAACTGCAGCAAACCCCCTCTCTGCATGGGGGCCCAGGTGAAGAGCCCAACTGGCAGTAAAGAGCTTGCCTATAGTGCCAGCTCTGCTCTTCACATCCCTCTCCCCCTCTGGCTTCGCATGCTCCTCCCTGGCACTGATGGCCTCTTCCTCCCCAAACAGCCCCAAGAGCCTGAATCACACACACAGACCACAAAGGAGCTTTCCAATAAGAACAGTCAGGCATCTGGCAGAGGCTCCCAGGGCCCCAGGTCCTCAGCCAAAATGCCCCCTGAAGAAGAGGCTTATCGCAAAGGATCCACCACCCCCAAGGTCCCACTGTCACGCCAGCCTGGCTGCATGGACGTTCGAATCAAAGGAGCTACCTCCCAAGAGATCTCAGGTTCACACCAGCCAGGCTCAAAGGAGGCTTGGCACAGAGGAAGTGTGTCATCTGAAGTCCCATTGTCACGCCAGCCTGGCTGCATGGATGTTCGAATCAAAGAGATCTCTTCACCCAAAGTCCCAGCTTCCAACCGACCCCCTTCAAGGGAGGCTAATCCCAGGCGAGCCATCTCTGCCGAAGTCCCAGCTGGAAGTCGACCTGGGTCAATGGAGGCTAAAGCCAAAGGAGTCAGCTCACCTGAGCTTGTGGCTTTATGTTGTTCTGGGTCAATAGAGGCCAATCCCAGGGGAGCCATCTCGCCTGAGGCCTTGGCATCAGGCCGCCCTGGTTCAAAGGCTAGTGAAGCAGCTGAGACCCAGAAGAGGATGTCAAGGAGGGTAGTGGAGGGGAACGGGAGCATGTCGCCCAAGATGGAAGGGTCAGCGAGACCCCAGTCCTGCCCTGAAGAAAGATTTGGGCAAACATTCAACTGAAGGTCAAAGCAAATTCTATGTCCGAGACACGAACGCTAATGAGACCAAGGACAAACATCTTGCTCAGCATTTCAAGCCTTCTGGCCCTTTACTTTCTTCAGTTCTAGTCACCTCCATCCCCAGGCTGGTGGTGTTTCCTTTCCCTCCATCTAGCTGTAAATCTCAACTTTTAATCCTGTTTGTGAGCTAGTTTCTTTGCGAGTAGGAGCTTCCCTCCACATAAGAGTGAGCCCAACTGACCCAGCAGTGACACAATCGACTTCCCAGCCTGTCGAGCCCCAAGGTTGGGGCTCTCAGACCAAGATGCTGCCTCACAGGGACATTCACCCATATGCACAAATCGCTTTTCAACCTGAGCGTGGGAACAAAACCAGCCAGGGTTGATGCCCAGGTTGGCAAGAGGGTGATTGGTTCTGAAGGAGCCCAAGTGATGCTGATGATTCGACAGTACCATGTGGCCAGCGTGTGTGTTCATTGTAATCAACCCAAAAATAAAACTAAAAAAACTAAAAAAATTCTCCCCTCAGTTTTTATTTACCAGCATTAGCATCAGTGGCAGGCCATGGGCTGGCACTCACCATCCACTCCCACAAGCATTAGCACCCAGGGCCACGGGCCGGCGCACAGCCTCCACTCCCCCAAACGTTAGCACCCAGGGCCACTCACCCTCCACTGCCACCCATCCACTATGGCTCCTGACAGCATGCTCAATGCTGCACCATCAGACCATGCTAGAACACAGTATGCTGGGCCTCTTGCTCTCCACAGGTCCTGTCTTTGTTCTAATTGCAGGGGGGGCTGCAATCTTCTCCATTTCAGGCCGATTAGGTGCAGCTCTGGGGCTCCTGGTGAGATGCCCTTGCAGCCTTCAGCCACAAGCGGCCTCACCAAGTTTGAGGTGTTGAGTGCTTTCCTGCTGGCTGGCTCTTCTACTAGCACAGCTAAGAGCTTCCCTCACCCCTGGAACAACATCCAATGTGGGGCAGTCTAGAGTCATGGAAAAAAATGCAAAGCCAGTCCCCAGGGGGGGCTCAGTGATGTTCTGACTCTGTCCCAAAGGGATACAGGTTGCAATCCCTCAGTATTGCACCACCTGTAGCCTCACCTTTTCAGGCTGGCTCTTCTCTGCCCAGCATGGGGGATGGGGAGCCAGGCCTAACGCACTCAGCGCTGGCAGAAGAATCATCCTTTCTGAAGCCTGGGGGGGGTGCTTTCACTGCACTGTAGGGCCCCTGTGCTTGTCTAAAATGCAGAGATGAGCGGCAGGCTGGGGGGGGGGGGGGCGCAGGGGGCTGGCAGGGGCTAGGAAACCCAACACCTTTCAGCAGCTGGTCTGAACCCAGCCCAGGATTGGCATGAGCCAGAGAGGGGATGCAATGCACAGAACAGCTATCAGATTGTGGGAGCAGGGGGCATTCTGCTCTTCCTAACGGGCATCATCGAGCTCCCTAACAGCAGCCCCAGAGAGGCCACAGCTTGAACGGAGATGGAGGCTGGGTGGAGCTCTCCAGGGCAAGACCTGTGGCCAAGGGAAGCTGGCCCTGCAGCACCTTTATTAGCATCAATTTTCATTACAGAAAAATAATTTAAGAAGAATCAGGCTGGAGGACAACATGCCTCAGCTGTAAAATGCATCACCTGGCCAAGGCCTTCAGTGCACCCGATCCTGACTGGCCACCACCTAGAGCTAGGCTATGGCACTCACACTCCCAGCCTCTCAGCTAGACAATGCCACCACCAGGGCCCAGCATTAGGCTCCTCCATACTCATCCTGCCATTTGCCCTCGCACTCCGACTCACCTCCCTTTGCTAGTCCCAGCCTGAAGAACAGTTTGATCAGCAGCAGCTGTGGAGCATGAGTGGGCAAGGGCGCACAGGACTGGATCCTCCCAAACCCACCCTGGCATGCCTCCCATCAAATAAAAGCCACACCCCACTCCTGCCCAGTGCCTCCTAGCGAGCCCAGAACAATCGCCAGGAATTTAACCAGTCGGCCAGTGACATCCACCCCACTCTCTTAGGGTGGGACGCAAGCCCAGGGTCAGATTTTACAAGGCAGGTTTCAAATGGATAGAAAAATTGTAGGCAACGCATCAGAAAGGGCATGATGAAAACATGGCTGCCCCAATTTCTGCAACTGTAAAACCAGTGCCTGCCTCTGTTGCTTCTCCCCCAGAGTTACCAGGGTCCTGGGCTGCCCTGATTCCCCAGAACTCAGAGCATGTCTTCCCATCTCTCTGTCTGCATTGAAGCCAACTTGGTACCGGGAGCGTTTGTGAGAGGTAATTAGGCATGGCAAAGTCCAAACATAACAGTTGGCATATGCCAAATCTCTTGATTTCAAATCAAGAGGACTCCAATTAAAAGTCATTTCAGCAACTGCAACATGAAATTGGTTTAAGGGCTGAAATACAATTTTCATTCTGAGAGAAGGTAACTCCTGCTGAGCTGCCATCAGTGGATGGCTGCAGAATACAGCTACAAAGCACGTGGGATTGAGTTTGTGTCCATTGTCCCCACACACACACTGTCTGATGTGGAGGGGAGGGCTAGAGCTCTTTTTTTTAAAAAAAAGATATTTGTCCCCGCTTGATTTTTGAATTTGGAGATTCAGGTTTTCTCTGGGCTTGGAGACCTCTGTGGTGAATGAGGAACCAGTGAGGATGATATCGCAGGAGCCAGAAGAGAAAGCTGAACACCTGGCAGGAGGAAGGGTTTGTTCAGACTGTTACACTCCTGTGTTTGCTTTTGCTGTTTTATGTTTTGCAATTTTGTAATTGTAAACTGGGAATCATCACGCAGGTGTTTCTAGTAGGATCCCGCAGGGACTGGTTTTCCGCCCTATGCTATTTAACATTTGTTTCAATAAACTTGAAGAAAACATAAAATCGTCACTGATAAAGTTTGCAGATGATACAAAAATCGGGGGAGTGGTAAGTAATGAAGAAGACAGGTCACCTGGTAAACTGGGTGCAAGCAAATAATATGCATTTTAACATGGCTAAACGTAAACATATACATCTAAGAACAATGAATGTCAGTCATGCTTACACAACAGGGGCCTCTCTCCTGGGAAGCACTGACTGGAAAAGATTGGAGGATCATGGTGGATAATCAGCTGAATCTCTGGATCACTTCCAACGGGAATCTCGAGTAGAAGTAGAGGCGTTATTTTACCTCTGCACTGGACTGTTGGAATACTGTGTCCAGTTGTGAAGTCCAGAATTCAAGAAGGATGTTGATAAATTGGGGAGGGTTTAGAAAGCTATGAGAACAATTAAAGGATTAGAAAACATGCCTTACAGCAGGGGGCAGGCAAACTTTTTGGCCTGAGGGCTTCATAGAATCATAGAATATCAGGGTTGGAAGGGACCCCTGAAGGTCATCTAGTCCAACCCCCTGCTCAAAGCAGGACCAATTCCCAGTTAAATCATCCCAGCCAGGGCTTTGTCAAGCCTGACCTTAAAAACCTCTAAGGAAGGAGATTCTACCACCTCCCTAGGTAACGCATTCCAGTGTTTCACCACCCTCTTAGTGAAAAAGTTTTTCCTAATATCCAATCTAAACCTCCCCCACTGCAACTTGAGACCATTACTCCTCGTTCTGTCATCTGATACCATTGAGAACAATCTAGAGCCATCCTCTTTGGAACCCCCTTTCAGGTAGTTGAAAGCAGCTATCAAATCCCCCCTCATTCTTCTCTTCGGCAGGCTAAACAATCCCAGCTCCCTCAGCCTCTCCTCATAACTCATGTGTTCCAGTCCCCTAATCATTTTTGTTGCCCTTCGCTGGACTCTCTCCAATTTATCCACATCCTTCTTGAAGTGTGGGGCCCAAAACTGGACACAGTACTCCAGATGAGGCCTCACCAATGTCGAATAGAGGGGAATGATCACGTCCCTTGATCTGCTCGCTATGCCCCTATTTATACATCCCAAAATGCCATTGGCCTTCTTGGCAACAAGGGCACACTGCTGACTCTTATCCAGCTTCTCGTCCACTGTCACCCCTAGGTCCTTTTCCGCAGAACTGCTGCCTAGCCATTCGGTCCCTAGTCTGTAGCTGTGCATTGGGTTCTTCCGTCCTAAGTGCAGGACCCTGCACTTATCCTTATTGAACCTCATCAGATTTCTTTTGGCCCAATCCTCCAATTTGTCTAGGTCTTTCTGTATCCTATCCCTCCCCTCTAGCGTATCTACCACTCCTCCCAGTTTAGTATCATCCGCAAATTTGCTGAGAGTGCAATCCACACCATCCTCCAGATCATTTATGAAGATATTGAACAAAACCGGCCCCAGGACCGACCCTTGGGGTACTCCACTTGATACCGGCTGCCAACTAGATATGGAGCCATTGATCACTACCCGTTGAGCCCGACAATCTAGCCAGCTTCATTGGGTTTCAGAAATTGTATGAAGGACCGGTTAGGAGAGGGGGTTGTGGCCCAGCCTCCACATCCTATCCCCACCACACACATCCCCCGCAGGACCCCTGGCCCATCCAACCACCCCTCCTCCCTGTCCCCTGACTGCCCCCTGCCACCCCATCCAACTCCTCCTCCTTCCTGACTGCCCCCCGGGACCCTAGCCCCCATTCAACCCATTCCTGCCCTGACTCCCATCCACACCCCCGCCCTCTGATCACAACCTCGAACTCTCCTGCCCCCTGCTCCGTGCCCCCTTACTGCGCTGCCTGGAGCACCGGTGGCTGGCGGCACTACAGCCGTGCCATGCTGCCACCACGCAGCACAGAGCACCAGGTCTGGCCGGGCTCGGCAGCTGTGCTGCCCCAGGAGCTCACAGCCCCACCGCCCAGAGCACTGCGCCGGCAGCAGAGTGAGCTGAGGCTGCAGGGGAGGGGGTGACAGCAGGGGAGGGGCCAGGGGCTAGCCTCCCCCGACCAGGAGCTCAGGGGCTGGGCAGGAGGGGCCTGTGGGCCATAGTTTGCCCACTTCTGCCTTACAGCGATAGACTCAAGGAGGCCAATCTACTTAGCTTAACAAAAAGATGGTTAAGGGGTGATTTGATCAAAGTCTCTAAATATCTAAATGGGGAACAAATATTTAATAATGAGCTCTTCAGTCTATCAGAGAAAAGTATAACACGATCCAGTGGATGGAAGTTGAAGCTAGAAAAGTTCAGACTGAAAAGAAGTGTCAATTTGTAACAGTGAG